TCACCTCATGTCCTTTATTTTCTTTGATCCTTTCCTTTCTCCGCGTTTTGCCTGTCCTCAAGCTGAAACAATGGTTGTTTTACATTTGATTGCTTCAGAGAATACAGATCCCCTGTGTCAGAATTGATTGAAAGCACATGAGACAGAAGTGGATTGACATGATTTCTAGCGCCTCACAACTTGGACTAACGAAGAAGAATGGTGTACGTGTCTTGATGTGATTAGCTAAGGGTTAATTATGGAGGGGTTGTGGTGTGTGTGTGTATAATCTGCAACCTTGACAAGACTACCAGAACTTTGTGTCAAAGAATACTAGTACAACAATACAGATCTGGCGTTATCAGTCACCGCACGTTGAGGGAGATGCTGAAGATTGGATCCAATTGTTTAAGGCCTTGTGTGATAAGGATGGTTGGGCGATTAACTAACCATAATGCGGGAAGTGTATGACTAAATGCATAGATTGATTATACTGATTGGTTGGGGAAAGGCGAGCATGCCCTGGTAAAAACCATTCTCAAGAATTGGGAGAGGTTGGAAGAGAAGCCGATTAAAAGCTGTTAGCTATTATAAGACACACCTTTTTCATAGACAGAAATGTCTTGTGTATTTGTGTGCTCTGTCTAACAGACAGAGATATGTCATCTGTTTGTGTGGGGGTTTAGAACATATGACATGTACTACTCACACCAAAAACCGTCATTTGTATGTATATGGTACAATAAAATATAAGATTTACTTCTCCCACACAGTAGGAAATGTCATTTGTATGTTTATTGCCAATACTATATTGACATAAAATTATGTTCTTCAATTTTCAGTATGTAATTTCTTAGTTTGAACATACGCTTGACTTGTGTATGTTGCATTGCCACTCTTACATCTATAGATTTCTGCAATTTTACTGTTATAATTTATGTACATTTGGGGACTTTCATATTTTTTTTTTTTTAAAATATAACTTGTTTTTCAATTTGTAATGTAAGGACTATGTTTTGAAAATTGTTGGCATTCGAGAAGAAACACTTTTGATTTCAGTGTTTAAAACAGTTCTTTGTGAGATACAGTTTTTGAACTATTTTTTTTTTCTTTCTTTTTAAAACATCAAATAAGCCAAACTCAGCACAGAATAAAATGTTATAAATTTGTTTCTTTAAAACTACATGCCTGAGTAGGCAAACAAGACAAACAAAATCCGACATATATATAAGGTTAGAGACATTTTTACGTTTTTTTGGGAAATTATTATTAAGAGGCATAAATTTAACAACCATATAGTTCAGTTATTTATAATACAAATATTGTTCAAAAGTACCATAAATATTCTATTTAAATTGTACTTTGTGAAACATTTTTATTTGACACCTATTTGTGAATGACAGTCTACTTTACCTGACACCCACATCTTCTTCATTTCGTCGTCCTCTCACCTATCTCGTCCTATCTCTGCCTCTCTCTAAACTGGTTTCCTTTTTATCATTTTTCTCTCTGCCTCTTCCTCTCTCTTGCTGTTTCTCTGCCTTGCTTGCTGTATATCTCAGCCTCTCTTTTGCTGTCTCTCTCTCTCAGCCTCTCTTGCTGTCTCTTTCTTAGCCCCCTCTTGCTGTCTCTCAGCTCTCTTACTGTCTCTCTCAGCCTCTCTCTCTCTCTCTCTTGCTCTCTCTCCTCTTACTGTCTCTCTCTCTCAGCTCTCTTACTGTCTCTCTCAGCCTCTCTCTCTCTCCTCTTACTGTCTCTCTCTCTCAGCCTCTTTACAGTTTCAGCCTCTCTTGCCATCTCGCTCAGTCTATATCTTGCTCTCTCTCGCAGCCTCTCTAACACTTTGCCTCTGACTCTGTCTCTTTCGCTACCTCTGCCTTACTCTCACTCTCTGCCTCACTCTTACTGCCTCATTAACTCTCTCTGCACCTCTCTTGATCTCTTTTCCCTTCTCTCTTGCTGTCTCTGCCTCTTTCTCTCTCTTTCCACCTGTTTATCTCTTTCTCCCTCTCTTTTGCCACTTCAGACTCTCTCAATCAGTTTCTCTCAGACTCTCTCTCTTTTGCTATCTCTTTTTCTCTGCCTTTCTCAGTCTCTATCTCTGCCTCTCTCTTAATATTTTTCTAAGTTCCACTGACGAGATATCAAGCAGGTTGACTTCATATACATACACATCCAGACTTTTTGATCTGGAACAATCTTTGCTGGTTGATCCAACATAAGTGGGTACCTGGGTGGCTAGCATGAGCGATTGGTCTACAGTGCAGATCTGATAAGGAGAACTCACTGAGGATCCAACAAATGGTTCTACATATTATACATTTCTCTTACCCAGATAAAAGTGTCAGAAAAATTGACAGAAATTCGCTACATCCAAGATCACTTTGAGCAGTTGGCACTGTACCAGGGGCTTGCTTGATGCGACATAGCTCTCAGACGTTCGCCTTGGGGCCCAAAGGCATCAAGTCGGTTTTTTTTTCTTCTTCAGAAATGACCTTGGGTTCCAGGTCGACCCAACCAAAATGGGTACTGGAAAGTTCTTGGAAGTAAAGGTGGCCGGCACAATTTTGACTACATCACTCACAGTGCCGATTGGGGGTCTGTAAAATAAAGGTCTAGCCCTATATGCCTATGGCATGGAAAAGGGCCCTTGACTGTTATTATAACACAGAAAATTACAATAAAACATTTACTGTAAATAGTCAATTAAGAATCAACATCAAAGCACTCAGGACACCCCCATTAGCGCTCCATCCCCAGCAAGTGACGAGTTAAAATTCCGATGGTACCAGTAACTATCTGACTGTATATCCGTGACTCCTCGCAGCGCCATTCTCCTCGGACCATAACGAATCTGTTCCTCAGCACTGTTCACTCGCTCCCAAAGGGCCCTCACAACATTCAACTTGTCACACATCAGTTCACCACCAAGTGGCGCAAAACCGGCCAGTCTATCTGCCGGCTGTCAAAGAGTGTTTAGTCTAGAGAGACTGAGAAGGTTCTTCCTGAACCACCAGACACCATTTCTGGACCACCAGACACCATTTCTGGACCACCAGACACCATTTCTGGACCACCAGACACCATTTCTGGACCACCAGACACCATTTCTGGACCACCAGACACCATTTCTGGACCACCAGACACCATTTCTGGACAATCATCATGGAGGTTATTAACAAACAACCACAAAATGGTGGTTGCTGTCTTCATAAGATAAGGTGGCATGAGTATATGATGATTTGATTCCCAGCACAACAAAATACAAAGTTAACAGCTATATAATATACAAAGTAACAATAAATATTTGCTGCAAGAGTATGTGTCCAACCTGGAGGACAGAGAAGGTTTTGATCTTTTTTATCTGGACACCACTTGAGCCTTATTATCGACAGATATGGGTTTCAAAAACAGTCTTACGACGAATATTTGGCCCCATCAAAGATGAAAACAGTAGGGAATGGAGAGTGAGAGGCAACTTCGAAATTCATAATCTATTTAAATCACCATTGATAACTGGCACCATGAGAGCTAATAGACTGAAATGGTTGGGGCATATTGAGAGAATGTCCGATGATAGAGAAGTGAAAACTGTATAAACATGGGAGATGAATGGCTGTAGACCACGAGGCAGACCAAGAAGACGATGGGGAGATAATGTCCAGACAAATCTGCAAACACTTGTTGTCTTCTTCTTTTCTTCCACCTTGTACCTCATCAAAGTGTAGGGGGGAGATGTAATGTTCGTTGATGAGCTCTGTCAAGAGCACTATTAAGACTGATGTTCATTTCTGTAAGGCTGTTCTTAATGCCATCACTCCATATTTTCCGAGGTCTTCCACTCGCTCTATACCCGTGGGTAACGTTTTAGTGTGGCTCGCTGTGGCGGATAGTACCAGGGCATTCTTTTCAGGTGTCCAAACCACTTTATTTGTTGTTCTTTGATGACCTGTAAGACTGGCTTTATTCCTAGCATTCGTCTGATTTCATATTCTGTCTTTCCTTGAAACTCCTGCAGCTCTTCTAAGGCATTTCATCTCTGTTGTCTCAACTTTACATTCATTGGAGAATGTAAGTGTCCACATTTGGCATTGATAGCATAGTGTTGGCCAAAAAATAGTTCTGATAAGATTTACTTTAGTACTCCGAGGTATCTGCTTGTGTGTCAACAGGGGATATAGTTGACCCAATACTTGATTAGCTTTGGCACATCTGGAGCTAATTTCTCTGTCCAGTTTTCCGTTGGATGTAAAAATTGTTGTCACCAACTGGAGAAATAAAAAGAAGGCCAGCCAGAGAGATGAAAGGAGGCGGGTGTGATATCTGCAGCAAAGAACCTCAAAGGCTCGAAATGCTGAAGAAGGCCAGCCAGAGAGATGAAAGGAGGCGGGTGTGATATCTGCAGCAATGAACCTCAAAGGCTCGGAATGCTGAAGAAGGCCAACCAGAGAGATGAAAGGGGGCGGGTGTGATATCTGCAGCAATGAACCTCAAAGGCTCGGAATGCTGAAGAAGAAGACTACTGGTGGAGGTTAACAGACACAACATAACCATAAAGTGGCGGTTGCCTTATTTATGTGGCAATTTATCCAGCTAATTAAAAATAGAATCAGTCAGCTTCATGAAGATCATCCTCATCAGACAAGTCAGCTTCATGTAACATGAATACAAATAACAAGTTAACATTGTGGCTAGAGAGCACATTATATAAATCTACAATTCCACAAATAAAAACAAACAAAATCACTTATCTGACATATTTCCGATAGCAATCACCTTGCTATCCGGCCAGCAGAATAAATTACACGTGCATGGCCACGGAAAATAAATACTGACCACGAGTGGTGCAAGCGACAAGGGCCGTAACTCAAAGATATTAGATATAAGTCTGTACCTTCTTTGTGTGATAACTTAGTAAGGGTATACTTGCTGGTGTGTCCTCCTGTGGGACCCCACACTCACCCTCCTGGATACAATCAGACACACTAGACATCTGATTTCCTGACAAAGATGAGAGGAGATCAAAAGCTCAAAATCTGCCCGTCTGTGTACAAACTTCGCTGACAAACAAGCTGTGCAAGCTGCTCGCTGATCGCCGACTCCGGCTGAAAGGATTGAAGAAGCACAAAGGTTAGCACTGATAATTCATTTATTGAACTGATGAGCACTGTCGGTGCTCACCAGAAGTTCTGGGCCTGGAATTAAAAGTACAGAATACAGAAAAGAAACACTCACATCCTAATTACCCTGGTTTATTCTAAGAAGCAGCCACTGTAAGTTATAAATTTGTCAGTCTGAATAAATAATAACATTATACCAAACAAAGACTTGACCCTGTGACCCTAAGAAGTCATTTCTTCTGCCTTTCTAGCCCCCCAGTGGAGTATAGGCCCACAACCAAATCACGGCAAGTTGTTCTATCACATGCAGATGTCCTCTCCATTTTTTTTAACTTCACTCTCCATCTCCCTTCTCCGTGTGTTTTCCGGTCTGCCTTTATTTCTATGCCCCTGTGGGTTCCATTGCAAAGACATTCTAGTTATATTGCCCTCAGGTTGACATCCTAAATAATCAAGGAAAACTGGCGGCAAACATCATCTTGTCTCAGAAACTGAAATATTTTGGCCATATTAAACGTCTTAGTATTTAGAAAAAACATACCGGGTACCGGGCAAGAGGGGCAGGGGTCGACCAGCATGAAGATGAGCACAGGACATAAGTGCACAATGTGGACGAGTTTGTTTCAGCAGAGCTGTGAGGGGAGCAGTGTTCTGTAAAGAAATACCTACAACATGATGATGATAAGTGTGCTGGCAAGGATCCAACAGTCTGCATACAAATATGTCAGATGGTAAAATGGATGTGCATGCAAAATTCAGGTTCTGGAACAAGTCTAAAGTCCAGAGGTGGATGAACAGCCAAAATGTTCCCCAGAGTATACAGCTGGTGAACGCAAAGAAAAAGATTTCCAGATGTGACACAATCCCATAAATGCCCATATAGCCATGTATGCAGAAACTTTCTCAAAAATCAGAGTAGATTCCACTGGTTGTGTTTGCACCTGTGCAGTGTTTAAAAGACTAGGACATTAAAAAATTAACTAAAAATAGCAAAGCCAATTTTCCCATTAACCTCACTGATAGAGGTCACGGAGTCATAATATGCTCAATACATTTAGTCTTTTATGGTTGCTTTTTATTTTTAAAATTTTCACGGAAAATTCTCACGGGTTCATGACCCAGTTTCTCAGCATTCACAGGGGGCCAGAGTGTTGAGCCTGCTCTAGCTGCCATCGTCCATCTTCTGCATGGTCTTTCCCAACTCAGTGCAGATTTGAACCCATAACCTTAAGGCCACAAGCCTATGTCTAGCCACAACACCGCACTGGCTTCCTATATCTGCTCAAACAGTTTATTTAAGAGCATCAGATGGGATTGGTTTGGCTATTTGATGAGAATGACCTGGTATCGACCGCCACAGACATCATCAAGAACAGCCATAAAGAAATGAAGATCAACCTATACAATTCGTTAGACAAAGCACACAGAAGATCCTTACATCTTCCCTCAACACCTTGATGAGATAACTGAAGAGAAGAGGAAGAAAATTGTGTAAACAAAACTTCATCATCATTTGTGTACAGTTAGATGTTATATAAGGCTGGCATCCGATTCCTTCACTCCGCTCTAATGCATGCAACTCTCACAATTTCTGACATGGAGTTCAGCCCAGCATTTTAACCCTCTCATAATAACATTCTTCTTAATCCTCTCCTTGGAGACACACTTTTTTCTCAAACCGTGTGTTTCCCATTTCAGTGTTTTTTGTGTGTGTAACTCTTTGCTCATTTTGCCTCAGAGTGTGCTCAATATATACCTCCACCTTCTTTGTCTTACTGCAGTCAAACAAGAAGTAGCAACAAAGAAAATGGGTGCTTTAATAATATCCTACCCCAAGCAGGAGAAATCCACAGGTCACGGGACAGTCTAATATTTCAGGGGGTGGTAGATAGGCTGCATTCAGTCGTGGGACCTAGGCTGCATTCTCTTCACTCTCTGTGAGATGTATGTGGGTTGGGTTTAGGGCCAGTTCTAGATGTTTTGGGGTCGTTAACAGCACCAGAAAGCCAGAAAACCCAGTCTTACCACCCTTTAAAATGTTGGACTGTCCTATGGCGTCATCTGGGGTAAGATATTAATAAAGAACCAGAAAATATGACAATACTCACCCTACAGGAGACTCCGACAACCAAGGCAAACTTGCCCCCAGTTTCCCTCTGCACATTCTCCTTTACCATTTGAACAACAGTCCGGTGGCTGATGAAAGATCTGCATGCATGACCATCCTCAGAATGAGACTCATTTGAACCAGAGGCTGACTGTTTGAAATCCGCTAAAGACAGTTTCTGGCTGTTGTTAAACTCAGTTTGCTGAAACATTACACTGGGTAATTCTGAACTTTTGGTTTGACATGAGGGAGTCGGGTAAAGGCTGGTAAGACTTGCAGAAAAGAACGAGGTTGTAGCCATGTTTGTGTCTGACAGAGACACTTGGGTCAAACTGTCAGGCACCCGACGAACATCATGAGGTAAACGAATAGTTTCGGTCTTGTTGCCAGTTCTCAAGCTATCATGCATGTCACTGGGACTTGTTGAAGGTGATTCCACATTCACCATCAGAGATTTTAACTGCACTGTCCTGCCATTTGTATCAAAAACCCTACCCCAAAAATCAGACTGTGAAAACGATTGCAAGAATACGATCACCACCATGAGATCAAGTTTGACTGCCGAGGAGGGCAGGTCAAGGTTATAGCAAGCAGAAATCTTGGTGATGTTGTCATGTAAGGTCTGGTGGTCAGTACACATCTGCATGTTGCACAGGATCACGAAAGTGTTGGCAGGAGCGTCTGTATTCCCTGCAACCTGAACATTTGACAAAAGTCATAAATTAATAAGTGAACATCCTTGTGAGGGTTCCAGGGCCCCATTGTGTGGAAAACAAAAAAACAGACTCGCTGCCCCCCCCCCTTTCCTCCCTCCAACAAGCATGTCATAGGAGTCGAGTAATTAGGGTATTTCTTCGAAGTTGGAGTGCATCTGCCTGAGAGGTAAGGAACCAAAAATCTGCATACATTAAGTCAGATCTGTTAAACAGATGTGCACACAACTCTCAGATTCTAGAACAAGTCAGAGGAGGACAAACAACCAGAACTTTCTGCCGATGAACGTGAAGAAGAAGACAAAGAATTCATGAACAGACAACGCCGATATAAAGTCTTCTATTTTAAACACCACATCATCTGCGGAGGTTCTAGTTCCCCCCCCCCCCACCACATCATCTGCGGAGGTTCTAGTTCCCCCCCCCCGCCCCCCCACCACATCATCTGCGGAGGTTCTAGTTCCCCCCCCCCCCCCCCCCCCACCACATCATCTGCGGAGGTTCTAGTTCCCCCCCCCCCACCACATCATCTGCGGAGGTTCTAGTTCCCCCCCCCCGCCCCCCACCACATCATCTGCGGAGGTTCTAGTTCCCCCCCCCCCCCCCCCCACCACATCATCTGAGGAGGTTCTAGTCCCCCCCCCCCGCCCCCCCACCACATCATCTGCGGAGGTTCTAGTTCCCCCCCCGCCCCCCACCACATCATCTGCGGAGGTTCTAGTTCCCCCCCCCCCCCGCCCCCACCACATCATCATGCGGAGGTTCTAGTTCCCCCCCCCCCGCCCCCACCACATCATCTGCGGAGGTTCTAGTCCCCCCGCCGCCCCCCACCACATCATCTGCGGAGGTTCTAGTTCCCCCCCCCCCCGCCCCCACCACATCATCTGCGGAGGTTCTAGTTCCCCCGCCGCCCCCCACCACATCATCTGCGGAGGTTCTAGTTCCCCCGCCGCCCCCCACCACATCATCTGCGGAGGTTCTAGTTCCCCCGCCGCCCCCCACCACATCATCTGCGGAGGTTCTAGTTCCCCCCCCCCCCCCCCCACCACATCATCTGCGGAGGTTCTAGTTCCCCCCCCCCCGCCCCCCACCACATCATCTGCGGAGGTTCTAGTTCCCCCCCCCCCCCCCCCCCCCCCTCACATCATCTGCGGAGGTTCTAGTCCCCCCCCCCCCCGCCCCCACCACATCATCTGCGGAGGTTCTGGTTCCCCCCCCCCCCCCCCCCCCCCACCACATCATCTGCGGAGGTTCTAGTTCCCCCCCCCCCCCGCCACATCATCTGCGGAGGTTCTAGTTCCCCCCCCCCCCCCCCACCACATCATCTGCGGAGGTTCTAGTTCCCCCCCCCCCCCCCCGCCCCCCACCACATCATCTGCGGAGGTTCTAGTTTCCCCCCCGCCCCCCACCACATCATCTGCGGAGGTTCTAGTTCCCCCCCCCCCCCCCCCCCCCCCCACATCATCTGCCGAGGTTCTAGTTCCCCCCGCCCCCCACCACATCATCTGCGGAGGTTCTAGTTTCCCCCCCCCCCCCCCCCCCCCCACCACATCATCTGCGGAGGTTCTAGTTCCCCCCCCCCCCCCCCCCCCACCACATCATCTGCGGAGGTTCTAGTTCCCCCCCCCCCCCCCCCCCCCCCCACACATCATCTGCGGAGGTTCTAGTTCCCCCCCCCACCCACATCATCTGCGGAGGTTCTAGTTCCCCCCCCCCCCCCCCCCGCCACATCATCTGCGGAGGTTCTAGTTTCCCCCGCCCCCCCCCCACATCATCTGCGGAGGTTCTAGTTCCCCCCCCCCCCCCCCCCCCCCACCACATCATCTGCGGAGGTTCTAGTTCCCCCCCCCCCCCCCCACATCATCATCTGCGGAGGTTCTAGTTCCCCCCCCCCCGCCCCCCCACCACATCATCTGCGGAGGTTCTAGTTCCCCCCCCCCCACCACATCATCTGCGGAGGTTCTAGTTCCCCCCCCCCCCCCCGCCACATCATCTGCGGAGGTTCTAGTTTCCCCCGCCCCCCACCACATCATCTGCGGAGGTTCTAGTTCCCCCCCCCCCCCCCCCCCCCCACCACATCATCTGCGGAGGTTCTAGTTCCCCCCCCCCCCCCCCCCCCCCCCACCACATCATCTGCGGAGGTTCTAGTTCCCCCCCCCCCCCCCCCCCGCCCCCCACCACATCATCTGCGGAGGTTCTAGTTTCCCCCGCCCCCCACCACATCATCTGCGGAGGTTCTAGTTCCCCCCCCCGCCCCCCACACACATCATCTGCGGAGGTTCTAGTTCCCCCCCCCCCCCCCCCCCCCACCACATCATCTGCGGAGGTTCTAGTTCCCCCCCCCCCCGCCCCCCACCACATCATCTGCGGAGGTTCTAGTTCCCCCCCCCACCACATCATCTGCGGAGGTTCTAGTTCTCCCCCCCCCCCCCCCGCCACATCATCTGCGGAGGTTCTAGTCCCCCCCCCCGCCCCCCACCACATCATCTGCGGAGGTTCTAGTTCCCCCCCCCCCCCCCCCGCCCCCCACCACATCATCTGCGGAGGTTCTAGTTCCCCCCCCCCCCCCCCGCCCCCCACCACACATCATCTGCGGAGGTTCTAGTTCCCCCCCCCCCCCCCTTCTCCTTTCCCGATTTTGGGGGAGGACAGAGAAGACTCACTGCCCCCCCTAACAAGCATATCATAAAAGGGGTTTTTCCTTCGAAGCTGGAGTGTGACTGCCTAAGAGATAAAGAACCAACAGTCTGCATACACAGAAGCCAGATTTGTAAAATAAGTGTGCTTGCGAAACTCAAGTTCTGGAACAAACTCTGAAGTCCAGGACAAACAAGCAGAAATTAAATAACAGTAAAAAAAAATGTACAATAATTTAGGAATATTTCAATACATAAAGCAAGTTGTTACACAGTACACTCACAAACTAACCCTAGTCCTAGACAGTTCATTCACAAATGACCTTTATCCTGGACATCCCACCCCTAAATCTAGCCTTGCACTAAGAAACACAACTAATTCATGAGCTGACACCACATTACACATCCCACCCCTAAACTGACCATCATCCTAGACACCGTAGCCACAAACGCATTCTTGCTTTAGACATCTCACTTGGACTTTTTTTTTCATTCAACCCAGCCCAGTCATACTTGTTCCTTGCTGTCTGGATGGACAACCAAACACATTGGTCCGACCCATTCGTGCTCTGTCCTTCCACGCAGCAGCCAGTATCTCCATGCTCACCAAACCCAGCAGGAGTTAACTGGCCTATCTTTTTTTCTTTGCCCCAAAGCAAAAGGTTTTCCTCATTTAATAGCCATTTCCCACAGTCGGTTCATAGCCTGCGACTCCTTTGTGGCAACATCTCTGGAACTCAGCACATTCAGTACTTTCTGCCTATCCACATTTCTTCCTCCACTAACTATTGCAGACACGGCCAGTCTGTCAGCTCTTACACTTCCTTTCATCCCACCCATTCATGAACTGACCTTAATATTCTGTCGAAGCAGCTTACTCTGAAACTCCTTCAGTGCCAACAACTCCAAGCCATTGTCGATAATGGACACCACCATGAACTTTTCTGGCCAAGGAGATTTGTTGAAAATTATAAAAATGCATTAAATGAAGCACAATAAATCAAAGGAAGGGTTAATCTGAGACAAAGCTGTTGAGACTTGCAATTAAATGGAGCCCTTTTCTCCTTAGAATTTACCAGCTGCAATTGGCAGCAGAAATTTCAAGTTGTTCGCCCACTTCTGGACTTTACCCTTATTTTAAAACTTGAATTTCGCATGCACATCCGTTTTACAGATCTGGCTTGTTTGTGTGCAACTGTTGGTTTCTTGCAGCTTAGACAGATGTGCTTTTACAAGATGCTTGTTAGGTGATGGGTCTGCCCACCCATAAATTGAGGCCCTGGAACTCATATGGGGAAAAGGAGCCGAAAACTCCATGATTCCTATAAGACAGTGATTCCCAAACTGTATGCCGCGGCGCCTCAAGGAGCCATGACCTCTTCACAGGAGCGCCGCAAAATATTCAAAGATACACGAGTTCTATTTTTTTAAAAATCTCTTACACACAAATAGTCATACTTTTATTTAGGTTAGGGCGCCGTGGACACATTTTAAATCTCTTACATACAAATAGTCATACTTTTATTTAGGTTAGGGTGCCGTGGACACATTTTAAATCTCTTACACACAAATAGTCATACTTTTATTTAGGTTAGGGTGCCGTGGACACATTTTAAATCTCTTACACACAAATAGTCATACTTTTATTTAGGTTAGGGCGCCGTGGACACATTTTAAATCTCTTACACACAAATAGTCATACTTTTATTTAGGTTAGGGTGCCGTGGACACATTTTAAATCTCTTACACACAAATAGTCATACTTTTATTTAGGTTAGGGTGCCGTGGACACATTTTAAATCTCTTACACACAAATAGTCATACTTTTATTTAGGTTAGGGTGCCGTGGACACATTTTAAATCTCTTACACACAAATAGTCATACTTTTATTTAGGTTAGGGTGCCGTGGACACATTTTAAATCTCTTACACACAAATAGTCATACTTTTATTTAGGTTAGAGTGCCGTGGACACATTTTAAATGAAAAAAGTTGCCGCAACTAAGAAAAGTTTAGAAAACACTGCTATAAGGAGAAGAGTACTGTGAGTATTTTGTTTTTAGCCAGCAGGATTAAAACTTGAGGAAACTTTCTCATTCTTAGTCGCAGAAGACGACAGGTTACACCGGTTGCTGTAGCCTATATGGGTGCCAAGTCATTTGGGATTTAACCCTGTTCGGTTACGGTCCAAATTGAGATTTTGTCATTTCAGTATTTAAAAAAAAAAAAAAAACCTATGTCTTACGAATGGGTCTTGGGGACCTACTTTGAAGAAATAAGAATAGGCCCACTACCTCCCTAACTAACATGCGCACACTGCCAGTAATTAGGGGTGTTTTGATTTTTAATTAGGGGTGTTTTATTTCACATCAAAGCGCATCTGCCTGGGAGGTGAAAAATTAATAGCATGCTTACAAATAAGCCAGATCTGTGAAACAGATTTACACGCAAAACTCAAGTTCTGGAAACGTTAACAAAACTGTATAAATGTGGACCAGCAAATGTTAACAAAACTGTATAAATGTGGACCAGCAAATGTTAGCAAACTTGGAAATATTCATTCTTTCATTCATCGCCCTGTTGTGCCATTACAGGGTTAATCCTATTTCTCTATTCTTTCTATTATGTGAGGTCACTTGGATAACATGGATGGAATTTAGTCCAGCACTTTTGGCTCTTATCAATGCTCAGAGCTTTCCTTGGACGTCCTCACTGCCTCATTTCCACACCTGGTTGGTGATTCTTCTCTGTACGTCTTTTCTCAGAATGTGCCCAATATAGCGCCATCTTCACTGTCTTATAAATGTTGGTACCAGTGGTTACCAAGACACTCCTTTTGAATGTATCCAATTTTATGTCCATCATTAACTTCATGTATCTGTCTTCAAATGTATTCAATTTTCGTTCCATATACATAAAACCAGTACTGAAATGTTATATCGTTTTTATATTGATTCTTACCTTTAACAATGGACTCCATGGAATAAACATCTCTCGAATAGGTGACCTGTAGGCCAAGACAGGAACAATTATAACTGGTAAATCTGGAAAATTAATCAAACTGGGCAAATATTAGCAACAACAATTACAAAATAAAGAAGATGGAGCTGTATTCAACCCATCCTGAGAGGAAGCAAAGAGAGAATCATGAACCAGGCACTGAAATGGCAAACAGAGGGACAGAGGAAGCCAGGAGAGAATCATAAACCAGGCACTAAAATGGGAAATAGAGGGACAGAGGAAGCCAGGAGGCCCAAAAGAAACCCTCAAATGAATGTTGATGAGAGAGGTCAAAGGAGACGGACTGGATTCCATCCATAATATTGAACTAATTAGTGACAGCACTCCGGACGGATCAGTAGGTGCTCTTATCTACTCCTCAAAAGCTCTACAAGCGTAAAATGACTGATAGCCCCTGTTCTGTGTTGATTAATCAAACGTTGTGTTCTCTTTAGTGAAATGTTCATTTCTTGCAGCTCCAGGTTGCACCCCCCCCCCCCCCCCTACCCCCATGTCCTCACCCCCCCCCCCCCCCCCCATGTCCATCAGCCTGGTCAGGGATTGAGAGTGATATCAAAGAGACGTCAGGGAACAGAATGGAAAGAAGGAATAGACGGCGAGCCCTATGTGACATATAATCGCACAATAGGACTATGAATGAATGATAAATCAGGAGGTCTGACCAGATCAAAGATTATAACTTCTTCTTCTCCTTCTTCTTCACATTCACTTTTAAAAAGGCAACTGGTACTTGGCGGTGTGGTAATTAGGTTTCGATGGTGGCCCAAAACATTTGATTTCAGCAAACCCTTAAATGGTTGCCTTTTATGACACGTTTGTGAATGGAGAATGAGTTTACCTCCACCCCACTCCCCCTTTTTTAAAAATCACTCTGGACCAAGGAATCCACACAGGTTGTAACAGAAATAATATTCTCACCTTCCAGAGGTCGTCTGTTCCACTGACTAAAGCAGCACGGCATTGAGAGTACTTCAAGGCCAAGAGGAGACACTCAGTCCCATAGTCAAGATCATCTTCTGAGCACTGACAAAGTGGGGGTAAAAAAACGACTGATGACAGAGATGTGAAAGATAATGCTGATGTCAGAGACACTGATAATGTGGTGTAAAAGATAATGACGATGATATTAAAGATGATAACGATGTCAGATCTGATGTTAAAGAAAATAAGGGTATTGTTAAAGATGATAATTATGTCAGAGGTAATGTTAAAGATGACGACAGTGTTGTGAAAGATAATAATGATATCACAGCTGATGTGAAATATGATGATGTTGATGTCGGAGTTGACGTTAAAGATGCTGAGGATGTTAGATACTGCAATGAGCTTCCTTACACTGACTTAGCTGCGTTATATACCTACTGAGATCTCTGATGTCCCATGCGATGACAGTAACACTGACAGTGACAACACACACCAAGTTCACAACAGACTGTCAGAACACACTCTGACACATGAAATGGTTTTTTACAACAGACTGTCAGAACACACTCTGACACATGAAATGGTTTTTACAACAGACTGTCAGAACACACTCTGACACATGAAATGGTTTTTACAACAGACTGTCAGAACACACTCTGAAACATGAAAGGGTTGTCACAACAGACTGTCAGAACACACTCTGACACATGAAATGGTTGTCACAACAGACTGCCAGAACACACTCTGACACATGAAATAGTTTTTACAACAGACTGTCAGAACACACTCTGACACATGAAATAGTTTTTACAACAGACTGTCAGAACACACTCTGAGACATGAAATGTTTTATCACTGTTTCAAGATGCATACAGTCTGCTGTCTTTTTTTCTGATTCATAAAAGGTTGGATGTTCTTCTTCCTCTTCAGGTTCACCGGCTGTAAACACCAACAGAAGGTTCAGATTATTCATCCAGTTCTTTAATCTTGTTCCATAACCTGAGTCTTGCACGCACATCCTCTTTACAGATCTGGCTTATTTTTGAAAGATGACTGTGATGTCAAGGTTGATGTCAAAGATGATGATGGTGTTGTTAAAGATGACTGATGTCAAGGTTGATGTCAAAGATGATGATGGTGTTGTTAAAGATGACTGTGATGTCAAAGATGATAATGGTGTTGTTAAAGATGACTGTGATGTTAAGGTTTATGTAAAAGATGATGATGGTATTGTTAAAGATGACTGTGATGTTAAGGTTGATGTCAAAGATGATGATAATGGTGTTGTTAAAGATGACTGTGATGTCAAGGTTGATGATGGATGTTAAAGATGACTGTGATGTTAAGGTTGATGTCAAAGATGATGATGGTATTGTTAAAGATGACTGATGTTAAGGTTGATGTCAAAGATGATGATGTTGATGTTAAAGATGACTGATGTCAAAGATGATGATGTTGATGTTAAAGATGACTGTGATGTCAAAGATGATAATGGTGTTGTTAAAGATGACTGATGGTAAGGTTGATGTCAAAGATGATGTTGTTGTTAAAGATGACTGTGATGTTAAGGCTGATGTCAAATATGATGATGGTGTTGTTAAATATGACTGTGATGTTAAGGTTGATGTCAAATATGATGATGGTGTTGTTAAAGATGACTGTGATATCAAGGTTGATCTCAAAGATGATAATGGTGATGTTAAAGATGACTGTGATGTCAAAAATGATGATGGTGTTGTTAAAGATGACTGTGATGTCAAGGTTGATGTCAAAGATGATGATGGTGTTGTGAATGATAATGATAGCAGCATTAAACATGGCAATGATGTCAGAAATACATACCACATAATATGAAAAGTACACTTACAGTACTAAACAGTACCACCTTTAAAATATAACACTCTCAGTGCTACACAACTCAGACAGTACAGTTCTAACTCAAACCATAATCACTTTCCAACAGACTCTAATTTGTCCATGGGACTTAACACCCAACATAGTTTTATGTAATATTTCTGAGTTACGGCCCTTGCCATTTACAGTCCTTTTTTTCTTTTGGATAGTATGTATTTCCGGTGGTCACACATGCGACAAAGATTCTGCGTACATGTGATTCTTTTTGAAGAAACTTCAGTTAAGTGATTCTGTGTATTTTTCTTTGTGTTTATGGTATTGTATATATATTGTAAATATGCGGATGATGGCTCTCTAGCCACAATGTTCACTTACCGTTCGCGTAATATGTCTTTTTTGTACCGGGTCTCACTGGCACTACTAAGAGACTGTTTGTTGTCTAGATTTTACAGAGCAGATGAGACAGATCTTCTTCCCAGTCAACTGCCGCACTTCTCCACATCACAGTTGACGCCGGTTGATAACAGTTTCATATTTATTGGTCGTAACACAAGAGGTATGAGAATCAGTCCACCAGTCTAGCGATGATCTACAGCATGACAATTACCTCATCCATCCAGGTTTTACGTGTTTGCACTTTGAATAATACAGCCAAGCCTTGAAAGTTCATTACTGACCTGCACACAATTAGGACTTAGCAGGACACATGAGTACCATCTTTCTCTCAGCATTCTTTCAATGTAACTTTTGATGCAGACGATCCACTTTCACTCCTTCTTGCTCTGGGGCCCTGTCACCGAATGACTCGCTATTCAGTTCTTCCCCCAGTTATCCCATCTTCCCAAGTGAACTCACACAATCCCACGTTTTCACTCTCTCATGCTGACTTCATGTTTTACAACCTAGGGATTTCTCTAATTCTACCAACCAATCATCCCCCTTAAATTAATCCTATATTACCCCATGTGGGTTCCCTGGTCCTAATATGGGGACAACAAGAATAGATCCACTGCATTCCCAACAAGCATGTCGCAGTGTTGCCTGAGAGGCAAGGAACCAACAGTCTGCATAAAAATAAGCAAGATCTGTAAAACGGATACACATGCCAAACTTAGGTCCTGGAACAAAGCCAAAGTCCAGGAATGGATGAACAACCAGGTTTTTCTGCCGCTGGGATTTATTGCCGGTGAACACAAAACAAACAACCCTATATTTAGCATGACTACAGTTTGTGTTTCTGATAATCTGAAGCTCACGGGTTCTATTTGTGATCTGGTTAACATCTTTTGATAATCACTTTCTGCACTGACCTTTTCATAGGCGGAAGTTATCAGACTGTAGTGGAAAGCCTGGGGCATCTCACTGTTTGTATACAACCTCCGGTCGAGGGACTCGACCAGTCGAGCATCATCGTCTGCTCGAATCACAGTGGACACAAGGGGTCGGGTCACTCCGGCTGCCTAGAGAAAAAGAATAACAGCATAGTGATACAGTTCTGTAAAGTGACATATACTGCTGAAACAAAAAAACAGTTATAAAATTGTGTGCTTTTATTAGTTGCCAGGAAAGCCTGCATGCCTAAAAACTACTGATGATCCCAATGCAAAAGACCTGTCAACTGAATGGTTGAACCCTAACGTAGTTTTATGCTCAATTTGAAATGTTTCACTCACTCTCCTACGATATAAAAAAAAAAAGTAAAGATCCCTTATTACGCCTAAGGCACATCGGGCATATGGGCAGAGCGTCCCATATTTTTACAGACCAATCGTCACTGGATGGGTAATGTGGTCAGCATTACGCCGGCCGTCTTTACTTCCCTAGGACAGATATCCTGGTACCCATTTGACGCTGGGTCGACCTGCGACGTCCCATACCACGATAAAAATCCATGCAGCTCGCAGTGGGTACGATATACGCCTGGCTAAATCAGAAGGTGCTGAAACCAAGGAGGAAACATCAGAAATGAAAGGAGAACAAGGTTGACAGGATAGGGAATGAGCGGTCTGATTTGGAGGAGAGAAGCTTTAAGTCCAGAGACGGCGCAAATACCAGAACTTTAGTCATGAAAATGGCGCTAATAAACAAGACCACAAATATAGCTGGAGACTGTTGGCAGCTTCAGCTAGCTAGCAGCAAGTTGAACGTGGTTGAGTTTTTGATTGTTTTCTTAAAAGGAATTGGAATTGTACTCAATTACAAAGATTCTGAATATTACAATTATGTCAAAATTATGCTCCTTTCAGTAGTTATGCTCCCTGTGTGGGTTCATGAGCCCCATCATGGGAAAAACAAGAATAGACCCACTGCCTGCCCATCAATCATATGCGTAGGAGTTGACTAATTGGGGGGTTCCTTTGAAGTCGGAGTGCATCTGCTCGAGTGGCAAGGAACAACCAACTGCACGCAAATAAGCTAGTAAAAGTGATGCAAACACAAAACTCAGGCCCTGGCACAAAGCCAAATTTCAATGGATGAACAACCAGGACTTTCCGCCGGGGCTTACAGCCGGTGAATATTAAAGAAGAAGTAATTAGGCATTTTAATTTTATCTCCTTTTGAGATGCAATTTTTATCTATTTTGAAGCCCCACCATGGCTCTTGCCAGGGGCCGCAATATAGCCCGACCATAAATGGCTGAAAGCGGTTTCTGGGACCTCTCCACGGGTAATCTTCATCCACATGGTGGCACTTTGGTCACCGGTTGTTTATCGCTTGTGTGATGTCCTGGTGGGGTACAACAAGCAAGCAAGCAGCCATGGGCTTTGCCTCCTCATTACGCAATAGAACACTATCGTCTGGACAGATGGAATAGTGCCAATCTATGTATCTACAGCACAATGGAATACTACTGTCTAGATCAGTGGCTCTCAACCTTCCAAAAGCCCTGGCCCTTTAATACAGTTCTTCAAGTTGTGGTGACACCCAACCATAAATCATTTTTCTTGCTTCTTCAGAAGTTTTGTGAATATGTGTTTTCTGATGGTCTTAGGCGACACGGGTGAAAGGGTCGTTCGACTCCCAAAAGGGTCGTGACCCACAGGTTAAGAAACACTGGTCTAAAGAGATGACAAAGTGCCAACAAGTTAGGAGCGATTGCCTGTTAAGGTGTCTGCTAGTGAAAACCTGTAAGACTGAATGCGAAAGGCAGAAGGGATACCAGAGAGATAAAGTGTTCTTTCTCGACTTGGTCAACCTAGAAGCCCAGACCAATTTTACAAATCTTCCTTAAAGGGGATTTGAACCTGGATAATTAGCTGGCAAGCAAGCAAGCTAGCAAGACATCTAACACATCTTTACGATTAAATAAAATGAAGAGATTTTATATTTTCAGACCCATCATATTAACAAATTTGATCTGACTGATTTCAGTTTCGGCATCAACGACATCATACCACACGATAAACACCCAGTGACACAAAGTGCCACCATTCAGGCGAGAATCACTCGAGGACAGGTCCCAGAAACCCCTTTCAACCCACAGGTTGGGTTATATTAGGGCCACTGACAACAGCCAGGGTCGGGGGTTCCCCCCCAAAAAAATTACATCCCCCCATGAGGACGGACTACAAGTCAATCTACTAACTTGACAATTCTCAAACAATAAGATCAGTGTGGTGAAACGCAGTATTAGTGACAGCCTCAATAGTTGCTGGGAATGATCAGATGACAGTTAGGAACACTCAACAGGACCGATCCATATAAGAACTACATGACAGGAAAAAGACACTCAACAAAAATGTAAATGAGGACGAGATCTCAAGGACAGAAGACAGGGAACAATACCTTCTTAAGAAAACCACCGGGGGTGGGGGGGGGGGGGGGGGGGAATGTTGGTCTCAAGACATGGTGTCCACCTCAAGTGCTAGAGGTCCCAGGTTCAATCCCCACTAAGGGCTGGGATTTTTTTTTCACGTGGACTTGGACTTTTAGTAATTCCCCCCTGGTCTCTGGGTAGTGTGATTGGATGGCCTTATGCATTTGTTGTGCACGTAAAAAATCCCTTGGCAGTTTGGAAATAGAAAAGAGTAGCCTAACGGCACTGCCCAAACAAAATTTGGAGTCAAAAATCTACTTAGAGTGAGAGAGAGAGGGACCAGTCTTAAACTCACCCCATGAACAAAAGCTGTCCTCGTCACCTCTTTGGCCACTTGTTCTGGCACAAATGGTCGCGCTGCATCATGGATTATCACCACGTCATTTCCAGAACATTCTGGCCAGGTAAAAGGGAGACATCCAGGCCATTGTAAATATTTACAACCAAATGATTTGTAAAGATGATAGCTTAACACGTATTGGCAGTTTAAATAATAAACAAACAAACATGTATTCATCAGCACTCAATATTTGTTTATGATATTTACTGTTTCTATGGCCTCAAGGTTCGCCATCTGTTTATTTCAGTGGTGGCTCCTGAGCAACATATGACTACAATAAATATTATAAATATTTGTATTTCTAACAACTGTTAAAATTCATTTTAGATGATAATTTTTAGAAATTGTTAAAAAACTACCAAAATAAAAAATAACCATGAAAAGAGTTCAGCCCCACCAGGACTGTACAAAGTACGACAAACACCTATTGACACAAAGTGCCACCATTTGGATGAGAATGACCTTCACAAGTCCCAAAAAACCCTGTTCAATGCATAGGTTATATTTAGGGCCCCATGTAAATCTAACCAAGGTAGATTAGGGAGTGTAAAATTGTGAAACATTTTCTGGTATTAATTTCAGATCAGGACCACTAGGACGTGGTTTTAAAAAGTGACTACTGTAATGAAAAATGCAATTTGAAAAAATACAACTGTAATGAATAATGTCATTTGAAAAGTGACAACTAGCTTTGACAATATCATACACCCCAAAAAAAATTAACCATTTCCTCTCATGAGAATCGTAATAATTTTCTTTTTTTCAAATCTTTTTTACAAAAGAAGTACATCCCATAATTTTCTGGAACTTGACCCTAAGAAACTTTAGGAAGAGGAGAAGAGGCAGAAGAAATACAGAGCCTTGGTCATTTTTAGAAACATCTGGGGCATTGAGACCTGGGACTGCCAAAGAGACAGGCAAGCGTGATGGTCACTGTGGTTTTACTGCCGTCAAGTCACTAAAAATGTATAACAAATTTATTATTTCACAAAAAATGGATATTTTTTAAAAATAATATAAAGGTAATAATCACTAAATACAAAGCTTCCCTTTTACCAAGAAAAACATGTTTTGTTGACATGGCCATGTGGAGCAAGGTGAGGTTATTAGGACATTATATCCCCCCCCCCCCCCCCAACTCCGCTAAGACCGGTCCCAAGCCCGGCTGTAAAAGGAGGAGGGTCTGGCTGAACCTGAGTGCTTCATGCGTCTCCGGAAGTAGTGGGTAACCGTGAATCAGCCAGACGGCCTGCATGGAGGCCGCAAGGAGGCAGCCCCTCCACCATGCAAAGGCACAACAGGCCAATCACCTGTTTGCCTTAAACCACGATTACAAGTAACTACAGAGAGAAAACCGGACGGATCTTAACGGCGACGAACTGGCATGGCTTACGGACTACGATTTATGGAACATGGAATATAAGAGGCATTAACGGAAAGGAAAACGAGTTAGTAGGGGAGATGAGGAAAGCAAAATTAGGAGTCTTGGCTCTGACTGAAACCAAGAAAAAGGGGCAAGGAATCACAGATCACGATGGAAGTATGCTGCTCTACAGTGGTGTCCCTATGACGGAGAGAGCCAAGGGAGGTGTTGGCTGTATTGTGGCCAGGAATCAAGTTAGTAACATCAAGGGATGGAAATTCATCTCAGAGCGAATAATGGTGTTAGATCTGAAAGAAGAAGATAAAATTGTCAATTTTGTCATTGTGTACGGGCCAAATGAAGATGAGCGAGTAGATGTTAAAGAAGAATTCTTTGAACTGCTCCAAAAGACCATAGATGACTGTCACGATGAAATTATCCTCCTAGGAGATCTAAATGCCAGAGTAGGAAATGATCAGTCTAGATGGGGTGGAGTGATCGGGAGATATGGTGAAGATGTTTTGAATGATAATGGCAAGCGACTTCTCAGATTCTGCAGGGAACAGAACCTTGTCATTACAAACACAAAATTCCCCCACAAGCGTATACATGCATACACAAGATGTGAACCTTCAAAGAAGGAAAAATCCATCATTGACTACGCCATAGTTAGGAAAAGTTCATTCAAGTTTGTGAGAGATGCCAGAGTCATGAGAGGACCAGAGATTGGAAGTGACCACTATCTGGTCACAATAAAGAGAACAACTGAAAGAACTGCTCCAACAAGGCAACACCGACAACTATGCAAGAAACCAAGCAACCAAGAAGGGGTGAGGATTAAAGCATACAAGCTAAGAGAGCCAGATATCAAGGCTAGATACCAGGAGCTTATAGTGAAAGCAATAGGAACTGAAGAAGAATCATCAGAGGACACTGAAACTCTCTGGTGCAGATTCAAGAATATCCTCACAGCAGCTGCAGTAGAAGCATGTGGTGAAGTCCCAAGTGGAAGGCGGGGACACAGGACACCTTGGTGGACAGAAGAAGTCAAATTGAAAATAGGAGAAAAGAAAAGGGCATGGAAGCAATACCTGGCAGCCAGGAACACAGCTGAAGAAATAGAAAAATATAAACAATATGTGGCACTCAGAACAGAGACCAAAAATATTGTGCTTAAAGCAAAACAGAAATCATGGGAAGAGTTTGGAGAAAAGTTGGAAAAGAATGCAAGAGAAAACCAAAAACTGTTCTACAAGACCCTTAAGAACATGAGGAAGGAGAAAGAGTGCCCACTTAAATTCATAAAAGACAAGGAAGGGGCTCTGCTTACTTCTACAAATGATATCATGGGCAGATGGAAAGAATACTTCTCAGAGCTCCTCGGCGCTGAGGGAAGTCATGACCCAGAAATAATGGACCTCACTGCTGAGAAGGAATTCAATCATGGGGAAGATAACATCAGGATGGAAGAATTGAAGGCAGCTATTGAGAAGATTAAGCTGGGAAAAGCAGCAGGTCATGATGGTATAACACCAGAGATGGTCAAATATATGGGAGTCAAAGGTGAGCGCCTTCTACTGAAGGTTCTCCAGGCAGCCTGGTGTAGCAAAACTATACCAAAAGATTGGGAGATTGCCATCATTATACCTATATTTAAAAAAGGTGATAACAGACAATGTGAAAACCACAGAGGCATATCCCTCCTCAGCATTCCCGGTAAAAGTTACTCTAGAATTCTTGAGCAGAGACTTAGAAGTCTGGTAGAGCCACAGCTGGACGAGGCCCAGTGCGGCTTCAGAGCAAACCGAAGTACTCAAGACCTTATCTTCACACTGAGACAGATGAGTGAAAAAGCCCTGGAATATAAGAGTGAGATTCACTCATGTTTTTTTTGATCTGGAAAAGGCATTTGACAAGGTACCCTGGAACAAGCTCTGGGACTGCTTGGCAGGGAAAAACATCCCAGCACCCCTGATCAGTGCAATACAGAGTTTCTACAAAAAGTGCAGAAATTATGTAAGAACAGCAGACCAAAAGTCAGAAGAATTTAAGACCACCAGCGGTGTTAGACAAGGTGATATTCTCTCACCTTACCTCTTCATTCTTATGATGGATGATGTCATCAAGACCTGTAAGGAGAAGACAAAGAAGTACTCTGTAGGGTACTGGAAGATGAGACCAATCTGTATATCAGAGCTGGCTTTTGCAGACGATGTGGCCCTGATAGCTAAATCAGAGGCACACCTTCAGTCCAACTTACTTGTCTGGAAGGAAGAGCTTGAAAAGAAAGGGATGACCATCAGTGTCTCCAAAACTAAAACCATGGTGATCTCAAGAGAGGAGAAGAAACACCAGATCATGATGGGTCAGTATGCGTTGGAGCAGGTTAACCAGTTCAAATACCTTGGAGTTGTATTAGACCAAAATGGAGGCATTAAGACTGAGCTGGCTACACGAAAAGCAGCTGCTGGGAGACTCTTCCAGGCCATAAACCGAGGGTTTCTTAGCAAAAAGAGAAATTGGCAAGAGGACGAAAATGGCTGTTTACCGCTCTACCTATGTACCAGTCCTGACCTATGGGTGTGAGTCATGGGCAATGACAACAGCTCACAGAAGCCAGCTGCAGGCCTCGGAAATGAGATACTTGAGAAAGGTGGTCCAAGTGACAAGAAGGGACAAAGTCCGCAATCAGACAATACGTCAAGATCTTGATACCCAGCCCTTAGTAACCCGAGATCAGTCACAGTTACGATGGTTTGGACATGTATGCAGAATGGGAGAAAATCGGCCACCATGGCAAGCATGGGAGGCTAAGAACCAGGGAACCAGACCTCCGGGACGACCCAGGGTGCGCTGGGAAGACAACATCCGACAGTCCCTGACTGACAGAGGACTGGAATGGAACAAAGCCAGAAAGAAAACTGCTGATAGAGACGCCTGGCGATCTCTCTGGCAAACCTCTACACCCCAAGGTAGAAGAGGAGCGACTAAGTAAGTAAGTAAGTATATCCCCCCCCCCACCCCAGTCGGTATTTACGTTAAAGTTTATTAGGGAAATATGAAGAAAAATATTATTACGAGAAGCTAAAAAACACTGGGCTGAACTTCCCGTCAGAAATCGTGAGAGTTACATGTAATAGAGCGGAGTGGAGGAATCGAATGTAGGACCTATGTGACGTCCAACGGCACCCGAGCGATGATGATGATGATGCTTATATCATGAACAGCTTGCAGCTATCAGAGCTGCTGGTGAAACATGGTTCGAGGTGTAAAAGTGAGTGAGGCATCAAGCTTTCTCTCATCAAATTTATGTAATATATGTGCAGAAAACATAATGAGAAATGTCACAAATGACCAGACTTGTGACCGTTATGATCCACTCATAACTGGCAGCAACCCTACTCCGGAACTTCATTATGCAGACGGCACAGTCCTCCTTTCAAACAGTGAAAAGATAACTGAACATGTAATCATGGATAAAAAGCACAGTAAAGGTCAAAACCTGTTTTAAAATTTCCCTCTGTGGCTGCTGGAGGTGTTGTGTCTTTCCTTGGGGGTAAAATTGGAAAGCTCTAGTGTATCCTTCTGTCTTTCTACATTTTTCTTGAGTGCCAATCAATACATGCCTGATTGTTCAGTATACATTAGATTTCAACGGCCTTAAGCGTTCTTCATCTATTTATTTTTACAAAAAATGAGTCAAGCTCTAATAGTCTGGAAAGTCTCCTTGAATTTTATGTTATCTGTTCAGCGTGTGGTAGGTAATACAATCTTTATCAACTACGTGTCCAGAGTCAAGCAAATGAAGTCCTATCCAAGAATTAGGTTCTCTCCTCTTGGCCGATCTTGATGTAGGATCTCCACTTAGTTGTGTGTGGAGTCATTTAGCAATGTGTTCTGCCACTTTGTTTGCAAGCTGTCTCTCCGTTCAACCAATGTAAGTTAACTGATACTTACATGCTATCAGGATTATTTACTACACACTGAACATCATTCATCATCAATTCTCTTTATACCTAGTGGCACATGAGGCTTCAGAGAGGACTTTCCATGCTTTCCTGTCCTGTGCAATCTTCAGTGCTGCACACTGAACAGACATTTGCTAAAAGTGATCGAGGCTGTATCAATTAAACGCTACTCTTCTATGTTATGTAAACAGAAAGATCACATGATCAATTTGAAGTTACCACAGTATTTATGTGACTGATTTTGAATTTTCACTGGATAGATGTTCAGCGATTCAATAATGCAGTTTATGCAACAACAACAACAAAAAAAAAAGATTCATTTTGTGCATCATTTTATGTTGATGTAACTCTGTAGCAACACACCTGACCAGATACAGCGAAGCATGCCAGGCAATAAATTGTGCAATATATTGTTTTTGTCCGCATTATTGACATTTTTCAATAGGAAAAAATTTTAAACTGTAGAACCTCACCTACCAGATTTCAGTGCCTTGAGTCCACAGTGTATCGACCGATGCCTGGTGTGGCTTCCAGCACATACGACCGCCCGAGTGAAGCCGTAACTATTTAACAGTTGCTTCGTAAACTCTATCTGATCAGCACTGACAACAACAACAATGTGTCGTATCCATGGAAACCTGCAAAAGTAACATGTTTAACCATTTCACCTTATGAATGCTAAAAATAAAAATGGGCAATGGACCAGTGAGAATATCTGGAAAAAATCCTTTAAAAGAAATTATAATTAGTGTTAAATAGAATAGATTCTCTCTCGGGTCTAAAACAAATGTGTACAGGGTGACCCATGACCTCAATGACTGAGGTTTATGGGAACATTTTCAGTCAGCCTGGCTTTAAAAGGTGATGGATTCATAAGGAAACCCCTATAAATGGTACATTTAGTTAATATATTCACATCTGGGCCTCCTAAACACTATTCAGGCACGCAGATAACCAATGTATTTAAACTAAGCTCTTTGAGAACAGGTCACTATAGTGGTGTCCGCCTCGAGCGCCAGAGGTTCCGGGTTTAATCCCCGACAAGTGCTGGGATTTTTTCACATGCACTTGGACTTATAGTAATCCCCCCTGGTCTCTGGGTAGTGAGATCGGACGCCCCTGTGCATTTGTTGCACTGTGCTACCTGTGTGCCATGATGTTGATCCGCTGTTCAAAACCTCAAACCTCCACTGGATGCTATCCTGTGCAGTCTCTTCGATATCATGGATGGAATCCAGTCCAGAAGCTTTGGCCTCTCTCATCAACATTCATTTAAGCCATTCAGGCCCATGAATTTTGACAGACTTGGCCCACATTTATTTCCCTCAACAAAAATGGCAGACGGGGTGATGTACAAAAAAGGCAATAGAAATTGTAATATACTTCTAATCCCTATAAATGTACATATTTTTAAACGTTGGTATCTATGGCACAGATCTTTGCAGTGGTCACAACATGTTCTATTTTCCCTCTTCTCATAATATGGCCGAAAAATGATGACTGTCTCCTTCTGATGTCTGTGATAAGTTGTCTTCGGGCTCCCGCCTCTTTTAAAACCTCTTGGTTGCTCTTTTTGGCTGTCCAAGGTATTCTAAGCATTCTTCTGTAAAACCACATCTCTGAGACCTCTAAAAATTGTTTGGCCTGCCTACCGATTGTCCAGGATTCACATCCATATGTTAAAACTGGATGTATGTAGCAAGCAAGAATTCTTTTTCTAACTCTCAATAAAAAATAACGAGAGAAAATGCTTGACAGTCTTGTTGCATGGCATGGAGGTGTGTCGGCACCCAAACTGATACATGCTGCAGGAGATCGCAGATTATGGAGAGAAATGATCACCCACGCCAGTCGGCAAGGCACCTGATGATGATGATGATCTATGGCACTCGAAAACATAGAAAATGCACTGTTCAACGCTAGCTATTTATGAATATTGCATTAGCGCAGTGGATAAGAGGCTCGCTTTCAAATCCAGCTGCGACTCGCTGCAGCCCACGGTCGGTGTTCGAAACCGGGGTTCACCCAGCCTCTAGGAAATGAGTACCAGTATTGATACTCTAGGGTAAACAAAGGAACGTCGCTGTAGCTACAGAGTTCCGTGCGAACGGCAACACAGGTGGACAATTCTTATCAGCTGTCCATACTGGTGGCAGAGCACTTATGGTTTATAACCGTGTGCAATGACGCTGGTTTACATCTCCCGACTTTACCTTTACCTATGAATTGGATCAATCTGCCCACATGTTTTGGAACACGGAATGTTTTTCACAGGAAAACGTTATTGTAACCTTTCCTAAATACACTAATGGTAGTTCTGAACATTAGAAACAAATACGGAGCCATGTACGAAGCAATATGGGTGGGACACACAATCGACGCTGACAGAGTTGTTTGGGCAAAATGGAACTTCTCAATCAACACTCACAGCATTGCTCGGGCCTTAAAGAATTAGGGCTTTCTTTTGCACATCCTGGCTTTTTCAGTTCCTTAATTTCACATTCTAGTGCCTATTTAGTGATTCTCTGCTCATTTTCTTTTCAGGATGTATCAAATACAGTGCCGTCTTCTTTGTCTCACAAGTTTTGTTACTAGAGATTGCCCAGACATTTCGCTTATTTCTCCCCCACCCTCCCCCCCTCCTTACCCCACCCCTCTTCATGAATTCATCCCATTTTATGTTTAACAACTTTTTCAGGTATTTGTGAAACAGTTATTCATTAATAAATACCATATATTGTAGAGCACTGAATGGACGAAATATGGCTTACCTGTAAAAGTTGTCGATAGTGTATGCCAGGATGTGCTTGCCTAGCACTGTCAAAAACTGTTTGGCCACGGGGAGATTCATTCTTTCACTAGTTCCAGCAGCTGGTAAAATTACGTCTGCTTGCATTTTTTCTTGTGAGCACTGGCTCTATTTAGTTTGTTCACACTTTGTCAAAAAATTTTTGCAGCCTCTGAAAAAAACAACAACAAAAAACGAAGGTTCTTCACTATTATCAAGTTTTTTGCCAGCTGAAATGGGCTGTCACATCTCTCCACAATCTGCGATCTTCAACAACATATATCAGTTCATCTTTATGCCCCCCTAATTCATCTTCAGTGCTCACTCTTAAAAGGACTGTTGGCAGATTATGTTGTAGTTTACAGCTTGGCTGTGATATTTACACTTTTGGTCTCAACACATCTGATTTAAGTAATTGCTTTCTGTGAAATTCTTGGCGGGTGCAATCTGGAGGTACAATTATTTCATTGCAGTCTGAGGATAATGGCGCTGCGAGGAGTTACCGGGGGATCTGGCCCGAGTCCAGAATGCTGTGATATTGATTTCTAATTCAACATTTAGTTATAGGAATAAAATGAATAAATCTCAACCCTCTTTGAAAAAAAAAAAAAGGAGCTTCTTTCACTCTACTTATTATGCAGGCTTGGCTAACTTAAAAAAAAAATGGCGTGATGAAACTGGGTATGAAGGCAACCTGGCTATCCTCCGAAAAGCGGGCACAAAATATGGTGGCCGCAAAAACACCCTAACAGAGCCTCAGTCACATGTCAACTGCGCACTTCCGGCGACCCAATTTGCGGTTTTCCGGCGACTACCGCCACTGCCGAGAGTATCCCCACGCCACTCACGCGGCATGGATTAGGGCTAAACTAGATGGCTGGGACTCACAAGCAGCAGCTTCCGCATCTCCAGCAGCTTTGCTGCCAGAAGTGCGCAATTATTCTTTATTCCTCCCCTTTCTCTTTCTCCTCCTTCTTCGACTCTTTATCCCCTCCCCCCCATTTATAGCAATTCACGTCTATCCTCTGACTAACAGTCAGCAAAGATAGCTGCCGCAAAATATCCAGTCGAGCCACAGTCACGTGTCAATCGCACTCTTCCGGCTACTTAATGTGCGCTTCTCCGACGACTATGGCTACCGCCTGGTGGCCCCCACGCTGCTCACGCGGGTGTTTTTGCGGCCACCATATTTTGTGCCCGTTGTTCGGAGGATAGCCGGCCACCAGATGCAAATGTCACTTCTATTAGTTCTACTGTAAACAAACTCAGATATAAGATTTCACAGTACTGCTGTAAGCAAACTCAGATATCAGATTTCACAGTACTGCTGTAAGCAAACTCAGTGTAAATACATCCAAACTGAGAAAGTATCCAAAGAAAGATAGAAGGAAAATGATAATAATAAGCAGAAGAAAAGTTCCTCCATCTGGGTTCCAGAACCTTTTTTGTGGGAAAAAGCTCAATACCCCCACCCCCGTTGAGTGCATGGTGTGACACTGTGAGCTATGTGTGTTTTTCATTGGCACAGGAGCGGAGCAACTATGGATTACCAGATTACCATGGCAACTAATTAGAGGTGTTTCTTTCACATTCAGAGTGCATCTGCATGAAAAGTAAGGAACCAAAGGGCTGCATACAAATAAGCCATGTCTGTAAAATGAATGCAAAAGCGAAACTCAAGTTTTGGAACAAGACCAAAGTGAAAGCCCAGAAGTGAATGAACAACCAGAACTTTCCGCCAGAAGTTTACAGCTGGTGAACACTAAGAAACAGGAAAAGAAGAAGATATGCAGGAAAAAAAGAAATGTGGAGGGTAGGAAATAAAGAAAGGAAGGGCTGAAGAAAAAGAAAGGGGGGGGGGGTTATGAATGAATTGGGCTATCCTCCGACTAACGGTCGGCAAATATGGCTGCCGCAAAATATCCAGTCGAGCCACAATCACGTGTCAATTGCGCGCTTCCGGCTACTTAATTTGCGGTCTTCCTGCGGTTTTCCACCAACAACCTCTACCGCCACGTGGCCCCCTAGATGGTTAGGACTCACGAGCAGCAGCTTCCGCATCTCCTGCAGCCTTCCTCGTGAGTCCTAGCCACCTATTTTAGCCCCAATCCACGCCGCTCACGCGGTTTTGGGGCCACCAGGCGGTAGCCATAGTCGCTGGAAAAGCGCACATTAAGTAGCCGGAAGGGCGCAATTGACACGTGACTGTGGCTCGACTGGATTTTGCGGCCGCCATCTTTGCCGACCGTTATTCGGAGGATAGACATGAATTGCTATAAATGGGGGGGGGGGGATAAAGAGTCGAAGAAGAAGGAGAAAGAGGAGGAATAAAGAACAAAAAGAAAGACAGAGAGAGAGAGAGAGGAGATAATAGTTTCTTTACCTCCCTAGCTAAGTACTCACTGAACAGTACAGCCCGGTTTCTCTCCTCAGCCACCGGTTTTAGCATCGACAACAATATTTATTTCAATGCCCCAACAGCTGACTTAAATTTCGTGCACAAAGTCAAGTGTATGATTATAGTCGCTGGAGATAAGTTTTCTTAAAAAATCGTCTGCATTTGAAAGTCCCTCCTTGTACTTGTCAACTGCCACCTCACATCGTACAACAGATCTTAGTTTATATTTTTATTAAAGGTCAGAGGTTACAGGACAGACTTCCGCTGTCTGAATAAACGTTCGGGAAAAGTATCGCAGTATTTATAATATATTTTCTTCTTCTCTTCCACCTTGTACCTCACTGAAGTGTCGGGTGGGATGGGGAAAAGGGGGGGGGGGGAGATGTAAAATTCGTTGATGATCTATGTCAAGAGTACTATTAAGGCTGATGTTCATTTCTGTAAGGCTGTTCTTAACGCCGTCACTCCATGTTTCCCGAGGTCTATACCAGTTGTAACGTTTTAATGTTGCTCGCTGTGGTAGAAAGTACCAGGGCATTTATATTGTATAACTGGTTTTTTTTTTTAAACATACTGGTAGGAAAAGTTTTAAGGCAAGCGAATAGGAGGCAGATCACGATACAAGTGGGAGGATAAAAGCAAGGCTTCGGCAAACGTCATTTTGAGTGAATGTCTACAAATGATCACTGGGCTGACAGTTAAGTGTATTAGCCACTTCGCCGATGCAGATCCGTGTAGTAGAATTACAATTTTTTTAATGATGTCTGGATCAGCGCGCGCGCGCGCACACACACACACACACACACACATATACACCATACAATAGGAAAATGCAGACGCATCGATAGATAACAGACTCACACATACGAAAATGGAGGGACACCCTCACAATTGCTGTGTTTGTTTATTCGACATATCCTCATCATCATGTGCCCTGCCAACTGGCATAGGATCACTACCCCTGGTTGACTGGAACAGCTCTCTTGATGATATCCCTCCATGCCATCGTTTCAATCCTTCCAGTTTCATTTCTCTTGGTCTGCCTCTACCCCTTTTTCCACTGATCTTCCCAGTTTTCACGATGTTCTCCAATGTCTCTCTTCTCATTATGTGGCCAAAGAACAGTGTTTGTCTCTTTCTTATTGTTGTATAAAGATATATACTTTCATTTGCCTCTTTCAGGCTATCGTTGTTGGTTACTCTGCTTGTCCAAAGTATTCGTAACATTCGTCTCAGAAACTACATCTCTGTTGCTTCCAAATTCTTCTTAATTTGTTCAGTGACATTCCAAGATTCGCTGTCATACAGACTGGGTATATGCTTCGTTAAAATAAACTTCTGTAACCGTTGGTGCCATTTCAATGGTTTGAAATGAATTATGTCCATATTTCATAGTTGTAGATTTCAAGCTGTACGATAGACATGGCCAATAAGACACATTTTACTGGGGGTGCCTATTTAACAACGTTCTTAGTGCGCTTGTTTAAAATAGCGAGGGCGCAAACACCGTCAGGAGGTGACAGGTTCGATTCCCGGCACAGTAACTATAGCTTTCGATTTTTATGTTGTCCACTGTGTTATTCTATCTTTCTACTTCTTTCTATGAGTGCCGATCAATACATTTTCTGTTACTTTATTAATACACAGATATGAATAAATTAACAAAGGGCAGACAACTGCAGGTAGCAAGTCGCATTAATTAAATCTCTGCTCGGTACAGCAATTTCAGCGTTAGCACATAGAAGTGACAGATAAGCAGATAGGTACGCTAGAGGCACGCAACCAGACAACATAAATACAAACACAGACAGAGATGTCAACAGAAGCAGAATAAATGAACAAAGAGCAGACAAGGCAGCAAGTTGCATTAATTTTCTGCTCTGTAAACCAATAACGGATCAGGACACTCCACACTCCAGTAAACAAACAGCTACACAGAAACACGCAAACAGGCAACACACAATTAAAAACATAGACAAACAAGCAGAGAGATTCACCATATAAATTAACAAATGGGCGGACAATCATCAGTACTGAGTGTCTTTATTTTCTAGAAATGAGTAAACTAAACACAAACATGGACTTTAATTTTTGCCATTGCCAGTCCCAAATCCATTGAGTAAGGAAAACCCTCCCCCCCCCCCCATTTCCTCTCCCCCGCCCCAACCCCGTGAAAAATAATTATTTGCTTCATAAACTTGCAGGAAAGGAAACCATACCATTAAACAAGGGGGCTGCGTGGTCTCGAGGTAGTATTCACCTCGAGTGTTAGAGGTTCCGGATTCAATCCCCGGTAAGGGCTGGGATTTTTTCACGTGGACTTGGACTTCTGGTAATTCCCCCTCGTCTCTGGGTAGTGAGATCGGACGCCCGTGTGCATTGTTGCGCACGTAAAAAATCCCTTGGCAGTTTGAAATCGAAAAGAGTAGCCTAACTGCGCTGCCCGGGCAAAATTTGGAGTTAAAAATCTACCGAAAGTATTTCAGGATCCTCGCCGGTGTTCAGAGCTTGTGCACTGTGCTGACCTTCTTCGGACTCAGACTTGAGTTAGAAGAAGAACGGAGCACTTATGGGTTACTACCCGTATGCCAGGATGATGATCCGTTGTTCAAAATCTCAAACCTCAAATCTATTAAACAAACGAATTGAGTGATGTATGTGCATAGAGTCCAGGTATGGCAGTTCTCTGTCCAAGTCAGTGGCCAGATATACACACTATTTGGCTGAAAAAAATCACGACAGTGGGTTTTTAGAATGTTAGGACCATAGCGCAGATCAGAGAGAGAGAGAGAGAGAGAGAGAGAGAGAGAGAGAGAGAGAGAGAGAGAGAGAGAGAGAGAGAGAGAGAGAGAGAACAACAGTTAAAATACAAAGAAGATGGCGAGGTACTGGACACATCCCCAGAAGAAACCAGTAGAGAATCGCCAAACAGGCTCTGAAATGGGAAATAACGGGATTGAGGAAGCGAGGACATTTAAAAGAAACATTAAAGCGAACGCTGATGAGAAAGGCTAAAGGTACTGGATTGTATTCCATCGATGATATCGAAGTGATTATACAGAATAGAGCAGACTATATCGATAAGCTGCGAACCGTGTGGGGCATGGAATGGCACTACATGATAATGATTTCAAATGAAAAACAAGGACTTAGGAGCTCAACAAAGAGCTTTCTGGTCACAGTTCATCATCATCATCATCATCACCCCCCCCCCCCCACCCCACCCCCTCGCAACACTGCGTCTTGTTAGGTCACCAGTTGCTGTTGACTGACTAATCAGCTCCCTCCACCTTTGACGATCAAATGCGATGGACTTCATGGTTGCATGACTAAGGCCTGTCCGTCAGTCAAGTTCTGTATCCATGTCTTTCTTGGTCTGCCTCTTTTCATCTACTGAGCATTGTAGTATTGTATATGAAAAGCCGTTAGATTTTATTATATGTACTTACAACTGCATTTTCGCCTTTTCACTGTTGTTAAAAGAGGTTCATAGTTGCCAATGTGCTGGGTAATTTATACGGTGAACCTCGTCATTTGTAATGTGGACTCTTGTGTGTCATGCCAGGAAGTTTTCGGAAAGATAGCAATTCCAATGCTTTTTTATTCGTTTCGAGTTCAATTGTTAAGGTCCACCTTCCATGGTCAAATGCAAACGTACTGATAACTTGCGCCCTGGGCTGTTGTAGCTTGGTTTTACATGAAATGTTTTTGGATCTCTATAATATTTGCTATCTGGCAAGGACTGATGCTGGTCATAGTTCGTGTTTGGGTAATTCATGTCAGTTTACAAGCTCGACTGGAGACACTCCTATTTTTATTATCTATTTATTGTCTGCTCTGCAGAAGCCTGTCCGGGTCTGCAGCCACATATTCCTCTAGTGTTGGTTCAGGAATCAGACACTGAGTCCTGCTGTTACCGTACCTATGAAAATAAAAAGCATGGTTACATTAGGGGGTTTGAAAGGACTGATGATGACAGAGCTAGCAAGATTGTCGTTAATCTGAAAAAACAGAATGTAAATACAAAAATACGTTAAGTTGAAACAACGTATTAAACAACACGGGCACAAGGGTAATACCCAGAAGTACTCTCCGTCTCTACTTCAAAACACAAAAAAGTTTCGAACATCTAAGCGCAGTGCAAAAAAAAATCGTAAAAACAAAAAACAAATCCTGAAAAAAAAACCATGGTAAAAAAAACTCGGCAGCGCTGTTTGGCACTACTGTTTACCACTGCAAGTGAATTGTTTAACTCGCAGCAATAAGAAGTCGTGTCCCGTCTTACTAACAGACAAAAATTACTAGAAATTTACGTAAAAAATGCCAGCCTTCGCCAGGGCACCAGAAACTCCGAGCAAAACCAAAAAAAAACCAAAAAAAAAACCCACGTCAGCCCCCAACAAATTATTGGTAGGTGGTCAAGCCCCAGATTTGGCGTGTGAATCAAAGAAATGGGAACGGACAACAAAAAAACAAACTAAAATCCAGATCAGTTGGTCTCCAAAACCGAGGTTTCCAGTGGTGCCCACCTCGACCTCCCCCCCCCCCCCCACCCCCAAGGAATTGTTTTCCTATATGCCGCAGCACATAAAGGAAGGCGTCCGATCTTACTACCAACAGGACCTGGGAAAAAACATACTAGAAATGTTACGTGAAAAATACACACACAGCCTTCGCCAACACACACACACACACAAAACACACAGAACTCATAAACACTACAGGCACTCACACGCCCGCCAAAAAAAAGACCACAAAGCCCCCTAATAATTATCAATGTGATGATGTGGTCTTGATCAGCCCAAAATTTGTTTCCAAAACGTGTGTATCCGAGACATGGAGAACTGGACAACAAAAGCTACTGCCATCCAGATCAGTGGTCTCCAAAAAAAGTTTTTTCAAGTGGTGGTCCACTCGAATGTCCCCCCCCCCCCCCCCACCCCCAAGCCAACTCAATTCCGTCCACCATAACAGAATGTGACTGAAAAGAGGAGGACAGAAAAAAATCCCAAACACTGTTAACAAGAACTTAGAACAAATCACCCACATCAAACAGTGTCACACACACACACACACACACACACAAACATACACACACACAAGCACACACACACAAACACACACACACATAAACACACACACACACACACAAACACACACACACATAAACACATAAACACACACACACACACACACACGCACACACACACCAAAAAAAAAGACCCCAAACAAATGATAATTTAGTGTGAATATATCAATGTGATGATTGGCAATAAACAGATGTCTTAAGATATAGATGCCTATTGTTCCTTTAACGCACTGACCTCGTTTTCTTTCTCTCATACGGTCCGTCAGAAATGTCCCTTTGTCCTAATTCCTAGTGTCTTCTATCATCTATGTGGTCATCGTAGATGTCTCGTTTGGCTAACCCTAGTGTCCTTCTATCAGTCTATGTGGTTCTTTAGAATGTCTCCTTTGTCTAACCTAGTGTCCTTCTATCATCTATGTGGTCTTTTAGAATGTCTCGTTTGTCCTAAACCTATGTCTTTCTATCATCTATGTGGTCTTTAGAATGTTCCTCGCGTTGTCTACCCTAGTGGGTCTCTATCATCTATGTGGTCTTTTAGACTGTCTCCTTTGATCTAACTATGTCTTTCTATCATCTATGGTCTTTAGAATGTCTCCCTTTTGTCTACCCTAGTGTCTTCTATCATCTATGTGTCTTTTAGAATGTCTCCTTCGTCTATACTTATTGTCCTTCTATCATCTATGTGGTCTTAGAATGTCTCCTTTGTCTAACCTAGTGTCTTCTATCATCTATGTGGTCTTTAGAATGTCTCCTTTGTCTAACCTAGTTGTCTTCTATCATCTATGTGGGGCTTTAGAATGGTCTCCTTTGTCTAACCTAGTGTCTTCTATCATCTATGTGGTCTTTAGAGTGTCTCCTTGTCTAACCTAGTGTCTTCTATCATCTATGTGGTCTTTAGTCTCCTGTTCTCCTTTGTCTGCTAACCTAGTGGTCTTCTATTGTCATCTATGTGGTCTTTAGAATGTCTCCTTTGTCTAACTAGTGTCTTCTATCATCTATGTGGTCTAATGTCTCCTTTTGTCTAACCTAGTGTCTTCTATCATCTATGTGGTCTTTAGAATGTCTCCTTTGTCTAACCTAGTGTCTTCTATCATCTATGTGGTCTTTAGAATGTCTCCTTTGTCTAACCTAGTGTCTTCTATCATCTATGTGGTCTTTAGAATGTCTCCTTTGTCTAACCTAGTGTCTTCTATCATCTATGTGGTCTTTAGAATGTCTCCTTGTCTAACCTAGTGTCTTCTCATCTATGTGGTCTTTAGAATGTCTCCTTTGTCTAACCTAGTGTCTTCTATCATCTATGTGGTCTTTAGAATGTCTCCTTTGTCTAACCTAGTGTCTTCTATCATCTATGTGGTCCTTTAGAATGTCTCCTTTGTCTAACCTAGTGTCTTCTATCATCTATGTGGTCTTTAGAATGTCTCCTTTGTCTAACCTAGTGTCTTCTATCATCTATAACTGTCTCCTTTGTGTGGTCTTCGTATCAGAATGTCTCCTTTGTTTCTAACCAATCGATGTCTTCTCCTTTGTCTCACCTAGTGTCTTCTATCATCTAGTGGTCTTAGAATGTCTCCTTTGTCTAACCTAGTGTCTTCTATCATCTAGGTGGTCCCTTTAGAATGTCTCCTTTGTCTAACCTAGTGTCTTCTATCATCTATGTGGTCTTTTAGAATGTCTCCTTTTGTCTAACCTAGTGTCTTCTATCATCTATGTGGTCTTTAGAATGTCTCCTTTGTCTAACCTAGTGTCTTCTATCATCTATGTGGTCTTTAGAATGTTCTCCTTTGTCTAACCTAGTGTCCTATCATCTCATCTTTAGAATGTCTCCTTTAGAATCTTCTAATCATTTGTGGTCTAACTCTAGTGTCTTCTATCATCTATGTGGGTCTTTAGAATGTCTCCTTTGTCTAACTAGCAATCTAGATGTGGTCTTTAGAAAGTCTCCTTTGTCTATCAGTCTATGTCATCTATGTGTCTTTAGAATGTCTCCTTTGTCTAACCTAGTGTCTTCTATCATCTATGTGGTCTTTAGAATGTCTCCTTTGTCTAACCTAGTGTCTTCTATCATCTATGTGGTCTTTAGAATGTCTCCTTTGTCTAACCTAGTGTCTTCTATCATCTATGTGGTCTTTAGAATGTCTCCTTTGTCTAACCTAGTGTCCTTCTATCATCTATGTGGTCTTTAGAATGTCTCCTTTGTCTAACCTAGTGTCTTCTATCATCTATGTGGTCTTTAGAATGTCTCCTTTGTCTAACCTAGTGTCTTCTATCAGAATCTATGTGTCTAGTGTCTTTCTAGGTGGTCTTTAGAATGTCTCCTTTGTCTAACCTAGTGTCTTCTATCATCTATGTGGTCTTTAGAATGTCTCCTTTGTCTAACCTAGTGTCTTCTATCATCTATGTGGTCTTTAGATGTGGTCTTTAGAATGTCTAACCTAGTGTCTTCTATCATCTATGTGGTCTTTAGAATGTCCTTTGTCTAACCTAGTGGTCTTCTATCATCTATGTGGTCTTTAGAATGTCTCCTTTGTCTAACCTAGTGTCTTCTATCATCTATGTGGTCTTTAGAATGTCTCCTTTGTCTAACCTAGTGTCTTCTATCATCTATGTGGTCTTTAGAATTTCTCCTTTGTCTAACCTAGTGTCTTCTATCATCTTGTGGTCTTTAAATGTCTCCTTTGTGTAACCTAGTGTCTTCTATCATCTATGTGGTCTTTAGAATGTCTCCTTTTGTCTAACCTAGTGTCTTCTATCATCTATGTGGTCTTTAGAATGTCTCCTTTGTCTAACCTAGTGTCTTCTATCATCTATGTGGTCTTTAGAATGTCTCCTTTGTCTAACCTAGTGTCTTCTATCATCTATGTGGTCTTTAGAATGTCTCCTTTGTCTAACCTAGTGTCTTCTATCATCTATGTGGTCTTTAGAATGTCTCCTTTGTCTAACCTAGTGTTATCATCTATGTGGTCTTTAGAATGTCTCCTTTGTCTAACCTAGTGTCTTCTATCATCTATGTGGTCTTTAGAATGTCTCCTTTGTCTAACCTAGTGTCTTCTATCATCTATATGGTCTTTAGAATGTCTCCTTTGTCTAACCTAGTGTCTTCTATCATCTATATGGTCCTTTAGAATGTCTCCTAACCTAGTGTCTTCTATCATCTATGTGGTCTTTAGAATGTCTCCTTTGTCTAACCTAGTGTCTTCTATCATCTATGTGGTCTTTAGAATGTCTCCTTCTATCATCTAACCTAGTGTCTCTTCTATCAGTGTCTCTATCATCTATGTGGTCTTTAGAATGTCTCCTTTGTCTAACCTAGTGTCTTCTATCATCTATGTGGTCTTTAAAATGTCTCCTTTGTCTTGTGCGGGTGCTTTTGATTCTGCAGAAAAACAAAAAAATCATCTATTTCATTTCCTCACACTCCTGCATATTGTGGAACATTTCTTCTTGGAAGGATACATGGCTTCTGACTGATTGACATTCTACCCCACTAGGACATCACACAAGGGACGAATACAAGACTGTATGGTACACGAGAAGATATGGATTGTACGGTAGCTTTCATAAAGGCTACCGGCCTCATGATATAAGCATTCTGATAGAAGGGTCGAAGAAGAAGAAGAAGAAGAAGAAGAAGAAAAAGAAGAAGAAGAAGAAGAAGAAGAAGAAGAAGAAGAAGAAGAAGAAGAAGAAGAAGAAGAAGAAGAAGAAGAAGAAGAAGAAGAAGAAGAAGAAGAAGAAGAAGAAGAAGAAGAAGAAGAAGAAGAAGAAGAAGAAAAAGAAGAAGAAGAAGAAGAAGAAGAGGAAGAAGAAGAAGAAGAAGAAGAAGAAGAAGAAGACACAAGCAATAAACAACGGATGACACAAAGTGCCACCATGTGGATGAAGAGGTCCATGAAACCGGGTTCAGTAATTAGGCCATTATTATGGCCGGGCTATATTATCAGTAATCAAATGGCTTCTCTCGGAATTCCAGTTTTTATGGGCAGATGCCTCCAGTACCCTCCGCACGCAGACACACGCGCGCGCACGCAAACATGCACAGACACAATCTGATGAATAATTTCTATCAGCAACGTTCAGTCTGTCACAGGTAACCGCGCAGGAAGGATGAGAGCTGAGCCTCTGAGAAAAAACAGACTATACACAAATGTTGACAACAACAGTCCTCAAATCCCATGCTATCATGGTGGAAGACTTTTCTTAACGCGGGCGGGTCTTGCTAGTCACACTCGCCATCGCCATGGGCTGTGAGTTCCAAGCCTCATAGCACAATATAACATTATCGTCTGGAAAGACTGACATGTGGTAATCAATCAACCCTGCCCTAAAATGCTGCTCTGTCGTTCTGTTAATTCCAGTTTTATTTTTATAGTTTGACTATCAGCTGCTTTTTCTAATTACTACATGGCGAAGCCCCAATCTCTCCCATTGCGTGACTCTCGTACCATTGTAGACAAGTTACAAGAACGATCTTGTATTGTGTTATTAGGAAGCGGCCATGGTGTAGCGGCTACCATCTTACCTATGGATCCCCAAGTCGTGTGTTTAAATCCGAACGGAGCCGGATTTTTGTTTTTTAAGAAACGAAATTGGCTTCCAGGTTGACCTAACCTTAAATGGCTACCACGTCCTGGGAAGTAAAGACGGCCGGCGTGAAGTTGGCCATATCACACATCGAATGCCGATGGGTGCAAAATATAGGCCTAGGTCTTCGCCAATTTAAAAATGGGTGCTTTATGAATATTCTACCCCAAACAGGGGAAATCCACAGGTCACGAGACAATCTAATATTTCAGGAGGTAGTAAATAGGCTGCATGCAGTCGTGGGACCTAGGCTGCACTCTCTCGTGGGACTTAGGTGGGTTGAGGTTAGGGCCAGTTCTAGATATGTTGGGGGTCGTTTCGCACCAGAAAGCTAGGAAACCCAGTCTTACCACCCTCTAAAATGTTGGACTGTCCTGGGGGGGGGGGGATATGATATTAATAAAGCACATACAAATGATGGGTTAATAGTAATAAATAATTTGACGTGAAGAAATTCAATGGAGACAGAACAAAAGTCAAACGAAAAATTTAAATACTAAAAGTTGTTTAAAACATTTTTTTTTGGTGTGTGTTAGAAGACATCGGTACTGAAAGTTTTGAGCCGCGTTTGTGTTACTGAGGTCTTCATTGGAAGAAAAGAATAGCAACACTGCACCCTGCCAGGCATGTCGTAAGTGGCGACTACGGATAGGGCTGGGCTGGGGGTTGGCTACCTCATTCTGTAAAAACAACAACCATAGTAACCAACAAACCATGTAAAAGTCAAAAAGAGGAACGAGAAAAAACCAGCCAACCAAGACGCAGAGAGGCTCTTCTAATAGAACTACTAGAACACAGACGTGTGTAGAAACAAAGAAAGTAAACAAAAAGATAGAGACAGAGAGTGAAGTTAAAAAGATTGGCAGAACACGGGAAGAATTGCATGCAACTGAGAAGGGTAGAAAGACTTGGCAGAGTGAGCTGAGGGTCTATGGCCCATTGATGGATAGAAGGAGAACAAGAAAAAGGAGAAGGAGAAGAAGAAGAACAAGAAAAAGAAAAAGAAAAAGGAGGAGAAGAAGAACAAGAAGAAGAAGAAGAAGAAGAAGAAGAACAAGAAAAAGAAAAAGGAGAAGAAGAAGAAGAACAAGAAAAAGAAAAAGAAAAAGGAGAAGAAGAAGAACAAGAAGAAGAGAAGAAGAAGAAGAAGAAGAAGAAGAACAAGAACAAGAAGAACAAGAAGAACAAGAAGAACAAGAAGAACAAGAAGAACAAGAAGAAGAAGAAGAAGAAGAAGAAGAAGAAGAAGAAGAAGAAGAAGAAGAAGAAGAAGAAGAAGAAGAAGAAGAAGAAGAAGAAGAAGAAGAAGAAGAAGAAGAAGAAGAAGAAGAACAAGAAGAAGAAGAAGAAGAACAAGAAGAAGAAGAAGAAGAAGAAGAAGAAGAAGAAGAAGAAGAAGAAGAAGAAGAAGAAGAACAAGAACAAGAACAAGAACAAGAACAAGAACAAGAAGAACAAGAAGAACAAGAAGAACAAGAAGGAGTTGCGCTGTGGAACTGGAATTTTTCTTTTAACCCAAGGACAGGCACAATGAAAGCTTTACCTGTTGACTTTGACCCCCTCTGCTGGGTTCATCGGGTTGAGGTGATCCACGAAGATGGCGTCACGGGATCCCATGGAAGGACATTCTGGGAAATAGTTGAAGGGCAGCAGCGAAAAGGACAACTGGCTGGCAGCCGTGGCCGTCACGGGAATGTCCTCTGAGCGTGGGATGTGATGTACCCCACAGGTGACCCAGAACACCAGGTCCTTCCAAAAGAAAACAAAACATGCAGAAAAAGAAGTAGTAGTAGTAGTAGTAGTAGTAGTAGTAGTAGTAGTAGTAGTAGTAGTAGTAGTAGTAGTAGTAGTAGCAGTAGTTGGTAGTTAGTAGTAGTTAGTAGTAGTTAGTAGTTAGTAGTAAGTAGTAAGTAGTAAGCAGTAGTAGTTAGTAGTAGTAGTTAGTAGTTAGTAGTTAGTAGTTAGTAGTAAGTAGTAGTAGTTAGTAGTGAGTAGTTAGTAGTTGTTAGTAGTTAGTAGTAAGTAGTAGTAGTTAGTAGTTAGTAGTAAGTAGTAAGTAGTAGTAGTTAGTAGTTAGTAGTTAGTAGTAGTTAGTAGTTAGTAGTTAGTAGTAGTAGTTAGTAGTGAGTAGTTAGTAGTAAGTAGTAGTAGTTAGTAGTTAGTAGTAAGTAGTAAGTAGTAAGCAGTAGTAGTTAGTAGTAGTAGTTAGTAGTAAGTAGTAGTAGTTAGTAGTGAGTAGTTAGTAGTTGTTAGTAGTTAGTAGTAAGTAGTAGTAGTTAGTAGTTAGTAGTAAGTAGTAAGTAGTAGTAGTTAGTAGTTAGTAGTTAGTAGTAGTTAGTAGTTAGTAGTTAGTAGTAAGTAGTAGTAGTTAGTAGTGAGTAGTTAGTAGTAGTTAGTAGTTAGTAGTAAGTAGTAAGTAGTAGTAGTTAGTAGTTAGTAGTAGTTAGTAGTTAGTAGTTAGTAGTAAGTAGTAAGTAGTAGTAATTAGTAGTAAGTAGTAGTAGTATTAGTTTGTAGTTAGTAGTAGTTAGTAGTTCGTAGTAAGTAGTAAGTAGTAAGAAGTAGTAGTTAGTAGTTAGTAGTAAGTAGTAAGTAGTAGTAGTTAGTAGTTAGTAGTAGTTAGTAGTTAGTAGTAAGTAGTAGTAGTTAGTAGTTAGTAGTAGTTAGTAGTTAGTAGTTAGTAGTTAGTAGTAAGTAGTAGTAGTTAGTAGTAGTTAGTAGTTAGTAGTACGTAGTAGTAGTTAGTAGTTAGTAGTAGTTAGTAGTAAGTAGTAGTAGTTAGTAGTTAGTAGTAAGTAGTAAGTAGTAGTAGTTAGTAGTTAGTAGTTAGTAGTAGTTAGTAGTTAGTAGTTAGTAGTAAGTAGTAAGTAGTAGTAGTTAGTAGTAGTTAGTAGTAGTTAGTAGTACGTAGTAGTAGTTAGTAGTTAGTAGTAGTTAGTAGTAAGTAGTAGTAGTTAGTAGTTAGTAGTTAGTAGTAAGTAGTAAGTAGTAGTAGTTAGTAGTTAGTAGTTAGTAGTTAGTAGTAGTTAGTAGTTAGTAGTTAGTAGTAAGTAGTAGTAGTAGTAGTAGTTAGTAGTTAGTAGTTAGTAGTAGTTAGTAGTAAGTAGTAGTAGTAAGTAGTGGATGCAGCAGCTGTGGTCGCGGTAGTGATAGTGGTTGAGCTAGTATTAGTGGTGGTGGTGGTAGCAACAGTAGTAAATGCATACGTTTCCTGAGTTAGGTTTGCAGAGACAAAATGAGACAGATAAAACATATAGACAGAGACCAGTCAAGACAGACAGACAGATAGACACAGACAGAGTCACAACGAGAGATGGGTAGACATATAAACACACATACTTACACACAGGAAGAGAGAGAGAGAGAGAGAGAGAGAGACGGTGGCATTAGGAGAAACATAGAGACAAAATGAGAGACAGGCAACGAGACGAGTTAAAGGAAGACAAAGAGAAAGCCATAGGCAGACACAGCGAGAGATGGACAGACATATAAACACACACACACAGAAAGAGAGAGACACTGGCGTTAAGATAGACATAGAGACAAAATGAGAGACATGCAAATGGACAAAACAAATGAAGACATAGAGAAAGCCAGAGAGAGAGAGAGAGAGAGAAAGAGAGAGAGAGAGAGAGAGAGAAAGAAAGACAGACAAGGAGAGATAGACAGAGGCATACAGAGACAGAGACATACAGACAGACAGAGACACAGGGAGACAGATAAAATAAGACTGATAAAGTAGTAGTCTTACTTCATCGACTATAGTCTCATTGTCTGCGTAGAACGTCGTAAAGTCGACAACAGGGTGGAGACTGTCGAACAAACCGTAGACAGAACCGGATGAGATCTCATCGTCCTTGTACCTTGTCACAACCATTTGATTTCGGCTCCAGGCAATCGTCTTCTCGTTGCCGACACCTTCAGCCATCAGGTTTTTGGAAACTCCGTCAATCTTGATCCTGGTCGTCAGTTGAGAGACAACAAATGTTAGCTGCGTATTCTGTACAGGACTCTGTAGAAGCAACTCCAGCATTTGTTTGACTGTGATTTCACCAGGCAGTTTTTACGTTCACTAGTTTGCCAGATGCACCTACTGTATGATACCTCTGACGAAACCAACGCAAGGCGGTCAGATGCCAAACCACCCGTATTTGGGATCGAACCCGGCCCACTGAAGTTACGTAGCGAGCTCACAATGTCTAAGCCACACACGCCGACTTAGTTTTTAAACCGGTTAACTACAAACGGTAACAGAACTAGAGCTGGCCACGTAGACAATGGACCGCATACATTTCAGAGACACCGAAAAGTGCTTTATACAGAGCGAACAAAAGGGCCCGTTCCGGAGATCTCTTCCTGTCCTGACGCCGCGAGGCATTCCAGGAACAGAGAAGGACACACAAAAAAAAAGAAGAAGAAGAACTACACTACAAAATATTGTCTAGTATTGTGGTTGACGGTACTAGACGTAGCAATGCTGGTAATGTCATAGTTTGCTCCAGAAGTCATATCCAACTTCAACAATTTGTAACTAAGAAATTTGCAGAACATCTCTTGGCAGTGGTGAAACTTCGCAAGCTGGCTTGGTTTGGGCACTTGGTGAGACTTGATTCGATTGCAAAGACTGTACTTCAAGGAACATTGAGGGGGGGGGGGGAAGTAGTCGAAGAAGAAGAGAGTAAAGAAGAACCTGGAATAACAACATTAACTAAATGGACAGGACTAAGTTATCATACACTTATTTATCAAGCAGAAGATAGAAAGATGGCGGGTTTTATGTGCTAGTGCTTCCATCAATTCACCTCCACGACCCTAATGAGTCAAGGGTTATGTTTTGCTTTGTTAACTCGGCAACCGTCTGGTCTAAGTTGTTGGAATTTGGCATACAACCTGTTAATAAGTTTGTCATTGCACAACATTTATTTAATGTAAACATACATCTAGCTTTTATCTCGCCTTATTTGCGGTAACCGATAAAACAAACACTGATTCATAACAAACAATCAGCATGCTTACAGTTAACTAATAAGTTACGGGAACTTTTCAAAACGTCAGATTCCACGTGTCTCATAGGCGTTTCATTCTCAGTTTTCGTCTCCGGTGTGAGCCTCGTGCGAGTTGTTGATGTTTCATTGTATGCCGCACAGGCTATCAGAAAAATCACCACGCATCACTGCACACGTGAACTATTTCCACACAATCTCCAGGCGTGTGTCAATTACTGTATAATCTATTTTACTACACATTATTTGTCAAAGAAACATAACATAAATTTACCGCTAAAAGAAAGCAGCAGCACCTGTGTAATTGTACATTATAAAATAATAAGGACAAGGGAAATCTAAGGCCATTTGCAAACATTCGTGTCTACTGGTTCAGGAGATTTAGAGATATTTGTTAAAGTGTGATTGCACAACTTCTGAAACGTACTGTAGCAGCTTTGGTGAGACTTGTGGTGGTTGTACCAGTGTTGGTAGTAACGATAATGGTACTGATGGTTATAAGAGTACTAACTCCAGTTTCAAAAGTAGTGGATGCTGAAGCAAATACAGCTGTAGTATTGGTAGAAGTTGTAGTAGAAGTAGTGGTGGTGGTCGTGGTAGTAGTAATAGTAGCTGCAGCAGTAGTAGTTGTAGTAAGTTTTTTTTATGGTGGCATTTTTTAGGGTTGTTGTACATGAAGAAGTAGTAATAACAGTAGTGTCAGTAGTAGAAGTTGCAGCAGCAGTAGAAGTAGTATTAGCAGGAGCAGCAGTAGTGGTAGCAAAAGCATCAGTAGTGGTAGCAGTCATAACTGCAACATTAATAGTAGAAGTAGTAATAGCAACATCAGGAGTGATAGAAGCACTTGTAGTAGTAGTAGTATTAGTAGCAGTCGCAGCATTAGCAGTAGCAGCAGCAGCAGTATCAATAGTAGTAGTAGCAGCAGCAGCAGGAGATGCAGCAGGAGATGCAGCAGTAATAGCAGGAGCAGCAGCAGTAACACTAGCAGGAGCTGCATCAACACCATCAGTAGTAGCAGTAGCAACAGCAACAGTAGTAGTAGTAGTAGCAACAACAGTAGCAGCAACAGTTGTAGTAGAAGCAGGTGCAAGCATAAGAGGTAGTTATAGTACGTTCAAGGAGAGGCACAACTGAATTACGAAACAAACAGAGAGAAAGCATGGGGAGAGAGAGAGAGAGAGAGAGAGAGAGAGAGAGAGAGAGAGAGAGAGAGAGAGAGAGAGAGAGAGAGAGAGAGAGAGAGAGAGAGAGAGAATGAGAGAGAGAATGAGAGAGAGAGAGACTGTTTAAAGTGCCCACCTGTAAGACTTCAGTTCCCCCTGTTCATTCCTCACCCCTTCATTATGCACCAGATGATACATCGGCCTGTGGAAGTCATATTTATACAACGCCTCAAGCTCACTTCTCTTCAGGCTGGTTGTAAATTTGGTCTGAGAAAATGGTTGTTTCGGGAACTGGTAAAACAAAACCAGATGAAGATTTCAGTTTATATTCAAGAGAATTATCCGGCAAGATAATCAACCAAACGATCGACAACCTAACCAAATAACGTTATTTCCCCATATTTAAGACGCACTTATTTTTAATTTTAAAAAAATATAGGGTCACAAAATAATGTGCGTCTTATACAATGAAGAATGCCCCAGTTACTGGAACTAAACCCAAACCTACCGCTGTCATGGTGGTTTGCTCCTGCTGGAGATCCAAGGTCCGGTATCTGTTGGACGTCCCGTTAATGTCCAGATCCACCTTGAAGCTAAACATGTGATGGTGGACATGTCCAAGGAGATGGTTGTGGATTTGGAAACCATAAGGTCTTTCAGCAGTTGCGTGGAAGACAGACGTGATGTAGCCTGTACAAGGACGTAATCAGCGTTATGTCAACGAGAGAGAATTAGTTTTTGAATATGGTGGTACAGGCATGTCTAACCGAGTGTTCCTCGAGGGCTATATGGGTCATATGTGTGAGTATCTTCTTCTTCTTCTTCTTCTTCTTCACTTCCTCTTTTACCGCTGTGGGTGTCGAGGGAGATATAAGGTTCTGTTTCTAGCTCTTCTGGCTGCCTCGACCATAGGCACATCGTGCTGTTGTAGAGTTTCTCTGATGTTATCCTTCCATCTTGTTCTTGGTCTACCCTGTGCTCTACGTCCTTCTTCTCTTTCCATGTATGCTTTGTATGGTATGGTGTCACAAGGCATTCTCTTTAAGTGGGCAAACCATTTCGCTTGCTGTCTTTGTATGTAATCCAGAATTGGTTCTGTGCCGACTTGTTCTCTAATGATCTCATTCCTGATCTTATCTCTTATGGTCACTCCTACAGCCCTTCTCAGACATCTCATTTCCGTGGTTACTAATTTTCTTTTATGGCTTGTTGTGAGTGACCATGTCTGGCACAGATGTGTGAGTATGATCCACGAAAATCTCCATATGTTACACACTAGCTCACTTCTGATTGGTCCACCTCTAGTCACCCGACCTTGGGAAAAAAGGGGGGGGGGGGATTCGTCAATGCGTTGATATGGCGTGTTGTATATTTAAGCACGCTATCTCTTTTAACACTACAAAAATATTTACAAATTGGGTCTAACCAACAAAACCCCATGTAGAGTGCTGCAACCTATGTCACATGAAGAAAATCGTAAATGCAAGACAAGCCAGAAAGGACAACACAGCCGTAACCTCCCGGACAGCAGAAGAGTCTAAAAAATGTAAAAATGGAACGCAACCTAGTTCAGTTGGGGAGATTATCGTGGATCTGACCCATGTGTGTTGCCACTCGCAACAAATAATTAGTGATTAGTAAGGATTATCTTTACAGCACTCCTGAAAGATACATATATGCTCCGATCTCCTCCTCATAAGCTCCACAAGTGAAATACGACAGTGGACGCCTGTTCTATGTCTTCTCCCCTTGGTAAAATGTTCATTTCTAGCCGACCTTGGTGTCATCCCTATGTCCATCAGACTGGAGAGGGATACAGAGTTATGCCCTTTGCTGTATTAATCTTCGTGATACGTGCGGCGCATGGAATAGATAAAGTCGCTTGTAACCAGTACAAGAAAGCCTATGGGAGGGGGGAGCTGTGTGGTCTAGGGGGTTGCGTGGTCTGGGGGGGGGGGGGGCTGCGTAGTCAGGGAGGCTGCGTGGTCTGGGGGGCTGCGTGGTCGGGGGGGGGGTGCTGCATGGTCTGGGGGGCTGCGTGGTCTGAGGGGCTGCGTGGTCTGGGGGAGGCTGCGTGGTCTGGGGGAGGGCTGCGTGGTCTTAGGGGCTGCGTAGTCTGGGGGGCTGCGTGATCTGGGGGAGGGCTGCGTGGTCTGGGGAGGGCTGCGTGGTCTAGGGAAGGGCTGCGTGGTCTAGGGAAGGGCTGCGTGGTCTAGGGGGGGGGTGAGTGGTCAGGGGGCTGTGTGGTCCTCGTGGGCTGCGAGGTCTGGGGGGGGGTGCTGCGTGGTCTGGGGGGGAGGCTGCGTGGTCTGAGGGTGGCTGCTTGGTCTGGGGGGAGGCCTGCGTGGTCTGGGGGAGGGCTGCGTGGTCTTAGGGGCTGCGTAGTCTGGGGGGGGGGCTGCGTGATCTGGGGGAGGGCTGCGTGGTCTGGGGAGGGCTGCGTGGTCTGGGGAGGGCTGCGTGGTCTGGGGGAGGGCTGCGTGGTCTGGGGGAGGGCTGCGTGGTCTAGGGAAGGGCTGCGTGGTCTTAGGGGGGGGGGGTGAGTGGTCAGGGGGCTGTGTGGTCTCGTGGGCTGCGAGGTCTGGGGGGCTGCGTGGTCTGGGGGGGTGCATGGTCTGGGGGGGGGTGCATGGTCTGGGAGGCTGCGTGGTTGGGGGGGGGGGGGCTAACCATGGTGGGTGTGTGGCGTGGTCTGGGGGCTGCGTGGTCTGGGGGGCTTCGTGGTCGGGGGGGGGGGTGGCTATGTGGTCTCGATGCTTGGTGTCCGCCTCGAGTGCTAAATGTTCCGAATTCAATCACCGGTAAGGGCTGGGATTTTTTCATGTGGACTTGGACTTCTACTAATTTCCTCCGTCTCTGGGTAGTGAGATCGGACGCCCGTGTGCATTGTTGCGCACATTAAAAAAAATTCTTGGCAGTTGGAAATCGACAAGAGTAGCCTAACGGCGCTGCCCAGGCAAAATCTGGAGTTTAAAATAAATCCAAAGTATTTTAGGATCCTCGCCGGTGCTACAGAACCTGTAAACTGTGCTGAGCTTTTTCGAACTCAGACTTGAGTTAGGAGAAAAACGGAACACTTATGGGATTACTACCCGTGTACCCCGATGTTGATTCGTTGTTTCAACCTCAAACCTCAAAGGAGAGTCCAGCAAGGGCATCCGTGTGTAGAGTGGTCGGCCCTCAAGGGAAGGCAGGGGAAAATCACGGGTATTCCCCATCATTCAAAGACGCTTCCGTGAATGCAGTGCCGACAAATAAAATTCTGGTCCTGGGCTCACCCAAGGAATCTTCACGTCCTGCACATGTCTACTTGACCTCACATCTGTACGTAAAGCTTTCTGTTCGGTATGGACAGCGTCCCCCCGATGGTCAGCAGGGAACCTCTCACTGGTCGGGGACTTTGATGACCACACAAATGCGAGGTCCGACAATTAAATATTGAGACTGAGTTTATTATGGCCCAAGACAAAAAAATTGTTGGCTATCCTCCGACTAACGGTTGTCAAAGATGGCGGCTGCAAAATATCCATTCGAGCCACAGTCGCGTGACTTAATTTGCGGTTCTCCGGCGACTATCGCCACCACCCAGTGTCCCCCACGCCGCTCACGCGGCGTGGAATGGGGCTAAACTAGATGGCTAAGACCCACGAGCAGCAGCCGCGGTGTGCTCGTGACCGCTAGTGCGCAATTGACACGCGACTGTGGCTCGAAAGGATATTTTGCGGCCGCCATCTTTGCCGACCGTTAGTCGGAGGATAGCCAACAATTTTTTTAGTATAGTAAAAAAGAAATGCGGCGTCCGTGGCTTAGGCGTTGCGAGTCCGACTCGTAATCCAACGTACCGCGATCGAAACCCACTGCTGGCTACGTGGATTTTTATCATGGTATGGGGCGTCGCAGGTCGACCAAGCCTAAAATTGGTACCAGGATGGCTGTCCTGGGGAAGATTTGTCTCTTTCTGATGTGGGTAAAGCTTTCTCCGTGAGTCAGTTTCTTTCAAGACATCTTCATTACTCTTTTTGAATGTCCAGCGTTTTCTCAACATTTGTCTATAAAACAAAATCTCTGCAGCTTTTAAATAATGTTTCCTTTATCTAACAACTTTCTATGATTGGCTTCCGTATATCAAGATGGGATTTACAAAGCTTTTAAGAATTTAAGTAGGTTCATACCTTACCTGTACTTATCACTCGAGTCTCCAAAACCCCATTCTGATGAAATATGAAATCACACACGTAGTCGTAATTATTTATCGCTAGAATTGTCCTGAAATATATGCCAATTTTTAAAAAGGCACTAATTACATGTGTTCTTAACAGATATTTACATACAAGGGGGAGAGAATCAATGAAAATGATAGATCATGAAATATTTACATGGGCAAGTAAGGGACCAATGAAACTGTAAAGTTAGTTGCGTATCCTTCACAAGGACGTCCGCAAAAAGCTAACCGCTAGAAAAGCTGGCTGTTTATGGTTTACTAAGTAATTTTACCTTAAGTAGTTAGCCACTGTTTCTAAACGGTCGACGTTCATACTACTGGTATGAGATAATCGAATTCCAACATCATCACAATGAACAACGGGTTTATATCTTCTTGTGCCAACGAAAACCACACAGAATGTCTATCACTGTCTCTGGCAACAGGCCATTCGCCATTTTCTAAATCTGCAGTTGATAATACAAAGCACGTTGGGCACAGTCGAAAAGCAATCCAAATGAAATTCGCAGTTCGCAGCAATAGCTAGGCGACAGAACTATAACCTTACAATTTACATATGGAGGAAAATGCAACGGCTATGGACAGAAGCAAAATCTTGCCATTACTAAATACAAAGCCAGCCTATCCGCCATACTTACCAGAAGCTGATACTAGGAATACATATCTTTCTTGTTCTGAATGTTTAGTGTAGACCAGATCCGCTGGTCACTCCTAGCTGTACCATTCTCTCCAGACCACAATGATCGATGTGTGCCTCGGAATCGTTCACCTGTTCTCAAATTTAAGGGGGCTGCGTGGTCTGGAGGCATGGTGTCCGCCTCAAGTGCTAGAGGTGCCGGGTTCAATCATCGGTAAGGGCTGGGACTTTTTCACGTGGACTTGAACTTCTTTTAATCCCCCCCCCCCCCCCCATCTTGGGTCTCTGGTTAGTGACATCAGACGCCCGTGTGCATTGTTGCGCACGGAAAAAAAATCCCTTGGCAGTTGGAAATAGAAAAGTCTAGCGGCGCTAGGAATTTGGAATTTAAAAATCTACTTAAAGATTTTCAGGATTCTCGCCGGAGCTACAGAGCCTGTGCACTGTGTTGAGCTTCTTCAGACTCAGACTTGAGTTAGAAGGATAACGGAGCACATATGAGTTACCACCCGTGTGTCATGATGTTGATCCGTTGTTCAAACTTCAAATTTCAAGCTTGTTAGTCATGAACTCACCACCCACTGGCGTAGATTTTATAAACTAGTATCTGTTTCCCATCTGTCTCAATCTTATTCTTCTAACTTAGCTTTCTGATCATGTCATTTATTTCCGCAAACAAAGTTTTCTCCTTCTCCCACCCCTTCCCCCCAAATAGATAAAGACTTCGGTTGAATGTTAACTTGCTATGTGTATTTTTCTTCTCTGAGTTTCTAGTGCGCGTGTGAGTGTATGTATGCGTGTGTTGTGTGCGCGCGTGAGCGTGTGTGCGTGTGGGCGCGAGTATGTGTGTGTGTTTATTCATTCTTCAGAACCCACACCTGACCCGACTCTGGATATCGTGTAAAATGGCCAACCATAAACGCGGCATGACACTCAGTGATGATGAGATGATGATGATAATCAACTGTGACTGTGACACTAGCCCATTTACAAACAACTAACCTCAGGATAAGAACGTAGTCCATCATGCCGCCATAGAAAGACCCAGATTCAAAGCTATAAGACAGATGGCGCCTCAGTGGTACTCCGTTGTTGTGTTCAAACAGACAAAACGAGGCTTTGTACACATCCGGTTCAGTTTTAGTTTGCGACATGAATGCCTGGTTGAGGGCACGAAAATGTATAACATATTAGGGCGGAACGGAAAACACAGACTGCTGTAAGGATAAAAGGTGAAACGGGTGTGCACGCAGCACTCAAGTCCTTATCAAGACCAAAGTCCATAAGTTTTAGGGGGCTATGTTGTCATGAGACATGGTGCCCGCCTCAAGTGCTAGAGGTTCCGGTTTCAATCCCCGTCATGGGCTGGGATTTTTTCACGTGGACTTGGACTTCTAGTAATTACCTCTAGTCTCTGTGTAGTGAGATCGGACGCCCGTGTGCATTGTTGCGAAAGTAAAAAATCCTTTGGCAGTTGGAGATCGAAAAGAGTAGTCTAACGGCGCTGCCCAGGCAAAATTTAGATCCTCACCGGTGCTACAGAGCCTGTGCACTGTGCTGAGCTTCTTCGGACTAAGACTTGAGTTAGAACGGAGCACTTATGGCTTTACACCCGTGTAACATGATGTTGATCTGTCGTTCAAAACCTCAAACATGAAACGATAAGTTGACGAACAACGAGAACTGTCCGCAGAAGTTTACAGTCGGTGAAAGAGAAGAAGAAGAAGAAGAAAAAGAAGAAGAAGAAGAAGAAGAAGAAGAAGAAGAAGAAGAAGAAGAAGAAGAAGAAGAAGAAGAAGAAGAAGAAGAAGAAGAAGAAGAAGAAGAAGAAGAAGAAGAAGAAGAAGAAGAAGAAGAAGAAGAAGAAGAAGAAAGAAGAAGAAGAAGAAGAAGAAGAAGAAGAAGAAGAAGAAGAAGAAGAAGAAGAAGAAGAAGAAGAAGAAGAAGAAGAAGAAGAAGAAGAAGAAGAAGAAGAAGAAGAAGAAGAAGAAGAAGAAGAAGAAGAAGAAGAAGAAGAAGAAGAAGAAGAAGAAGAAGAAGAAGAAGAAGAAGAAGAAGAAGAAGAAGAAGAAGAAGAAGAAGAAGAAGAAGAAGAAGAAGAAGAAGAAGAAGAAGAAGAAGAAGAAGAAGAAGAAGAAGAAGAAGAAGAAGAAGAAGAAGAAGAAGAAGAAGAAAAGAAGAAGAAAAGAAGAAGATAAAGAAGAAGAAGAAAAGAAGAAGAAGAAGAAGAAGAAGAAGAAGAAAAAGAAGAAGAAAAAGAAGAAGAAGAAGAAGAAGAAGAAGAAGAAGAAGAAGAAGAAGAAGAAGAAGAAGAAGAAGAAGAAGAAGAAGAAGAAGAAGAAGAAGAAGAAGAAGAAGAAGAAGAAGAAGAAGAAGAAGAAGAAGAAGAAGAAGAAGAAGAAGAAGAAGAAGAAGAAGAAGAAGAAGACACACAGATAGCCAGACAGGATCCACTCGAAAGGAAACATCAATGCGACAAACGAACATACGTACATACATGCGCACGCACACAACACACACACAGACATACAGACAGACATACACACATACTTACACACACACACACATATACACATGAGCTACTCACTGCACCAATGAGTGTAGCGGTGTCGGGACAGTCGGCTCCTGGCACCAAGGAGGCCGCAGTGGCCCCCATCGACACAGCACTGTCCACAAAATTGGATGTTTGCTGCCAAAAGCAGAAATGGTAAAAAAAATATTTATTAGTAGAGCCTGTTATCAATCTGTAGACATGATTTCCAACCATTTGTTAGGTGACATTTCCCTTGAGTATTTGGCAAGGTTATCAGCCTCCAACTCAACCTAACACAATGGTATTTTAAAAAACAAAGAGTAGGGCAAAAAAAGAGAAATCACAAGCACTTTTAACAAAAACTTAGAGAAAAGCATCAAGATAAAACAAAGTGTCAAATAACACACACGCGCGCACACGCACACGCGCACACACACACGCGCCCAACACGCACGCGTCCGAGCACGCACACACACAATCACCAAAAATGTGCAACTAGTGTGCAAATATCATGTTAAAGTGTAGTGCGACTACCGTCGTACGAACTGAAAAGAGAATTTTGTGCAGTTTAGAGAAGGACTTGCGCTTGTTAGATGGATTTACAAATAAACCCAACGCAGCGATTGCCAGGTACCGCCAGTCACCGATAGAGAAAAGTAAACTGAAAATTGTTAAAATATGCCGACTGACACCTGTTTTAGTTGACGAATATGAAATGACACCTCTGGTATTTACCAAGTTTCATGGTAACAAAAAAGTAAGAACATCATTCTAGAATTTTTCCAGAGGGTGATCCAATGAAATGAGTAGAAAAGAACACGTGACAAGCTGACGTTCATTCAGTTTTATACATCGAAATGACGCCCAGAGGAAAGGAAGGATCAGCGAGGAGCAGCGGTTCGTTCCACAGACAGCTCAGGTGGCTGATAGCCAGTTGGGTAAAACACACAGCCTTTTCTATTTATACACAGAAGGACCTGGGTAAAACGGTACTGGGGACTGTAAGACCGATGTATGAAGGAAGAGATTCAGGCTTCTAAACTTGAAGCCTCGTGGATAATAACGGTTGGAAAGAGGATTACTAACCTCTACTGAAGCATTATACGGCATGCTTCGAACTAGATCATGCGGACGGACACAAGAAAAATTTGTCAACTCCATTTTATCATGCTTCGCGGTGAAGTGGCCTTTACATATTTAATTCAGCCTTGAGTGTGAAGTATGCCAGCTTGTGGATTTTGAGGAGTAGAATGGGCTTAGTCATAACTGGATTTTCTAGGAGGCCAGACAGAAAAACGTATGTACATTTGTGTTATGACGTCGTCAAAGTGATGTATCCTGAGCGGCCCTTTTCATTAAACAGATGTCTTGTCTTCGTTAAACAGATGTCTTTTCTTCAAACTAAGGGCTTAATGTTGGTGTACTATCCAAGTGATTCCTGTAGTGTTGAACAGTGGAAAGGGGAAGGGTGTTTTAATCATCTATAGTTCATGGTCCTAGACGTAGTCGTAACGAACCTGGCAACTATTAGGGCAAGGAAAACTGTCACAATTAATGTGATGGTTGGTGACGAGTGCGAATGTTGGCTTGATACACCGCACACTTGCCAAGTATCCATGGTATGCTGAATAGTGTTACAGTAACAAGTCACCATTCCCGCCCAACAGCAATAAAGGACGCCGGATACATGTTGAACGTCAAAATCAGAATTAATGTATTTCTAATTTCAACACCAAAACAATAAAAGGCATCACGAGAATAAAACGTTACACCGCCACAGTCATTCCTACTGGCAAGGCAACACACACTACGCCACGGACGCTCTGGGCTACTTCTACTGCCACCCTGTCCCGTGGTCAACTACGAGCAAACATTACCTGCTCGTGCAAACTCACTGCTCGTGATTATGTGTCTACCTCTATGACACCCATCCCTTTGGTACACTGTCATAGCAGAATCATACAGGCTGATGCACAGTACATTGTGAAACTTGTCCAGACCTTCCGTCTGCGGCCTGACACGTAATTGAGATCTAAATAATCTCACCACACGAGCGTCTGTCACGCTGGCGCGGCCACTATAACAACACTCACAGACAGCCCGTACACCTACCGCCAGCGTAACACAGTTATGCAGGACCAGCCTGGATCCATCCAGACTAGAAGAGGCTTTCTACACAGCTTCGTAGAGTCCACCGTTACTCACTCTCTCTCTCCCTTCATTCCGTTCAATGTGTGCTGCACCGCACCAAGTTTTACGTTTAATAATGAACTTCCCTTCCCGTATATTGCACACAACAGTTGGCACTGTTGACACAAGCGCTTGCCTGGCTTGAAACACAAAAATACACCCGCGTGTGTATACTTAGTGATTCAATGAGTATGATCCGGAGGGTTCAGGCAGGTTCAGTGCGAAGACAATGGCTTGAATCATTACAGAAGTCCACTGTTCGTGGAGTCACCTTTATTTTTGTTCCGGGACACGCAGGCGTCAATGGAAATGAAAGAGCTGACAGGTTGGCTGGATCCGCTATCACTACCGACGGTCAGCCTATGGATCATGCTGATATTATCAGTGCCCTCAGAGAAATGGGAAGAATAGAGGACTTTGGTGGCAGTGAATCCACATCACTCGCCAGAATGGCAGACTTGGGAATTAAGATCGGCACAGCAAAAAACGAGACGCACACCAGCTACGCCAGAAGACTTGTTAATCAACATAGAACTGGTACTATTAGCCATCGGACGTTGGGGTTCATACTGAGGAGAGGATCTGAGCACCTATGGACATGTCCGGAGTGCAATGAGGATAACCCAACTAACTAACTAACTAACTAACTAAGTTGGCACTGTTTTGTCCTGATGATACCTGCTATTTTTGGTGTCATGTTGGACAAGGCACAAGGGAGATCACTCTTTACAAAAACGCTGGCAAGGCTGTGTAATTTTAATGACTGGCAAAGCTAAAAACAAAAAACAAAAATATTTGGTAAAATCATCATAATGCGGCTTGAAAAAGGAGTAGATAAATGCCTACGAGTGGAACAAGCAGGATTCAGAAAGGACAGAGGAACCACTGAGCACATCTTCGCCATACGTAACATTTTAGAACAATGCAACGAATGGCAGAGAAGTATTTATATTAATTTCGTGGACTTTGAGAAAGCTTTTGACAGCGTCCATAGAGACGGTCTGTGGAAAATTTTACGACACTATGGAATTTCAGAAAAAATAGTCAACATAATTGCTCTCTTCTATAAAGACTTTTCCTGCAGTATAAAAAAATACAATACATCTTTCCCAGTAAAGACGGGTGTAAGACATGGATGTGTTATGTCATCTCTCCTCTTCAACCTTGTGATTGATTGGATACTAAAGAACACAGTAGACAGGACATCAAGAGGTATACGATGGACTCCATTCACCATGCTTGAGGACCTTGATTTTACAGATGATATAGCACTCCTATCACATAAACATGAACATATACAAGAAAAAAGTAACAGACTAAACTGCACAGCAGAAATGGTGGGACTGAGAATAAATACAAAGAAAACTTAGATCATGACAAACAGTCCAAACCAACAACCAGGGACCATCAGTAACCAATCACTTGAAAATGTAGAACATTTCACATATCTTGGCAGTGTGGTGTCCCTACTGGGAGGGACAGAGGAAGACATACAGTCACGTCTGAACAAAGCTAGAGCTGCTTTTGGAAGGATGAGGCAAATCTGGAAATCCAACAATTACTGCAGAGGAACGAAACTCAGACTCTACAAGAGCATCATTTTGCCAGTTCTTCTTTATGGAGCGGAATGCTGGAGAATGACCAAAAAGGATGCACGCAAGGTGTCCACCTTCCACCACACATGTCTACGTATAATTATCAAAATTTTCTGGCCAGATACAATCTCAAACACTAAACTACTTTAAGCCACAAACCAAGAAACTTTAGACAATATGATTACCAAGAGAAGATGGAAATGGCTTGGCCAGGTTATAAGAATGAATCCTGATATACCTGCCAAAACAGCTCTCACATGGACACCAGAGGGAAAGAGAAAACAGGAGCGCCCAAAAACAACATGGAGACGAACGATGGAAACTGACCTGAGTGCGGCATCTTTGACATGGAAAACTGCACTGAAGATTGCACAGGACAGGAAAGTCCTCTCTGAAGCCTCATGTGCCACTAGGCATAATGAGAACTGGTGATTTTCTGAAAGCTAAAAACAACTCTAAATTGTACAGTTTTAAAGCCAAGTTACGTATTTTCAATTCTAATGTTTTTTTTTTTATTAGACACGTGCAAGTGACAGTTGGAGAACCAATAAAGACATGGAACGAAAGTTAAGTATATTCGAAAACAAATGTCTGAGGAAAATGATGCAAATAAAATGGGATGAATTCAAAAGGACTGAAGAAGTAAGAGAAATGTCAGGGCAACCACTGGTATCAACAGTTATAAGACCGAGAAGATGGCGTTACAATGGACCCGAATTGAGAAGAAACCAACAAAGACTCGCCAAACAGACATTACAATGGGAGATAGGGTGATTAAGGAGACGAGTACCCCCCCCCCCCCCCAAGAGAAACCCTCTAAGATGAACGTTGATGGGGGAGGCCAAAGCTTCTGACTGGATTCCATCCATGATATTGATCTGATGGCATAGAATAGAACGTAATGGACAAATTGACTGCGAGCCCTAGGTGAAGTTGAATGTTGAATTAAGAATCGACATCATAGAACTCGGGACACTCCGATAAGCGCTCAGTCCCCATCTTCAGCAGCAAATAAAGAGCTCCAATTCCTATGGTACCAGTAGCAGTAACTGACTGACTGTACATCCATCTCACCATTTCCCTGAGTGTTGAGCGTCTGCCAGATCCCCTGGTAACTCCTCGCAGCGCCATTCTCCTGCGACTGTAATGGTCTATCTGTGCCGCCCCACTGTTCACTCGCTCTCAAAGGGCCTTCACACCTTCTAGCTTGTCACGCATCAATCATGTGACTTGTCTTGGTGCAATAGGGTGATGAAATAATGAAAAGACTGAAAACCTGGATTATTACAATCAATATTGCTTGAGGCCGCTGTTGAAACTTCCCCATGCTTCCAGTTTGCAGACCACTTTTGTAGAGACATGTACACGAGATGAGCTGCATGTGGTTAGCAAAGTACTGGACTAACTAACGTGTGCTTGTTGAGGGCCTATGCCCTATTAGTAGTTTAAAAGTGTAACGACCAAAAATGAAGAGGACATAATGAGGAGAAGGATGAGGATTTAGATCTGGCATGCCGAACATGCGGCCCTTCGCAAACAGACCTGCGGCCCGCAATACAAATATTCTGCAAAAATTTTTTATGAAATTACCTCAGTTAGTTGTCGCATACGAAGACAGCAGGTGAAATGGTTTGCCCACTTAGAGAGAATGTCTTGTGACACCATACCAGACAAAGCATAGATGGAAAGCGAAGAAGGACGTAGAGCACGAGGTAGATCAAGAACCATATGGAAGGATAACATCAGAGAAACTCTACAACAGCACGATGTGCCTATGGTCGAGGCGGCCAGAAGAGCTAGAGACAGAACCTTATATCTCCCTCGACACCCACAGCGGTAAAAGAGGAAGTGAAGAAGAAGAAGAAGAAGAAGAAGAAGAAGAAGAAGAAGAAGAAGAAGAAGAAGAAGAAGAAGAAGAAGAAGAAGAAGAAGAAGAAGAAGAAGAAGAAGAAGAAGAAGAAGAAGTTGTCGCATGTGGTCCTTATTGCAGCCTCCGTGGTCTAGCGGCTAGACGGAAGCTGGACTTTTTTCAATAACGACCTTGGCTCCCAGGTCGACCCAGCTTTGGGTGGGTATCAAGTGCAGTACTGGGAAGTAAAGGCAGCCGGCGAGATGCTGACCACATAACCTATCAAAGTACCGTTCGGTCTATAATATAATGGTCTAGCCCTTTATCCCCAATTCGCCTCAAGGCGGCGAAAAAGGTCCTTTACTTTTTTTTTCCTACTTTTTGTGTGGTCCTTATGAAAACACAGATGTGACTATATGGCTCTCTGGAAACCATCAGTTTGTGATGCCTAATATTATAACGGGTAGTGAGCATACTTTGGATCTTTTCTCCAGGATTTGCCGGCGTGGTGGGGAATAAACACACAGACAGATTGGTTGGATCTGCACAGCTGGTTGGTGAATTGATGCATTGCAAAGTAGATGTGGTCAGAACCAATTAAGAACAAGCAACTAGGAGAGAATTTAGATTATTGTGTGCTGGAGAGAATGATACCATTGGGTGTGACCAGAGGGTTCGGCCGGCACACTAGGCTCAGAGGAAAGGTAAGACGGACATTCAACCAGACTACGACTGGTACCATTAGTATTGGAACTCTGCGCTGGCTGCTGAGGATGGGGACGCAGCGCGTATGGAAATGTCCTGAGTGCTGTGATGTCAATTCCTAACTCAACTCAACTCAACACATGAAGATATAGCAATGACGGCACTCACCGCGAAGGGAGAATACCCAGAGTAGTAAACAGCCACTTCTGACAAGGAAATCTGATAAGCGATTCTCTGCCCCTTAAATCTGACGTCATTCAGAGCCGGTCCAGTCAATGGAGACGTTCGGAAGTTGAATGTCCAGTCCAGATAAGTGACCTGTAAACAGATCAACGACCATTCTTGGGCATTTCAGATATATGTTTCATATTTACAGTCATCAGATCGGAGGCCCACATTTAAATGATTGAATACATGTTAAATGTTTATAGGTGATAACAGAGGAGGAGAATAATAATAATAATAATAATAAAAAGAAGAAGAAGAAGAAGAGGAGGAAGAAGAAGAAGAAGAAGAAGAAGAAGAAGAAGAAGAAGAAGAAGAAGAAGAAGGAGGAGGAGGAGGAGAAGAAGAAGACGAAGAAGAAGAAGAAGAAGAAGACTAGGAAGAAGAAGAAAACGAATAAGAAGGAGGAGGAGGTGGTGGAGAAGGGGAAAGTGATGGTGGAGAAGAAGGAAGAGAATATACATACCTGTCTGTCAGTGACCGAATACCGTTTGCCATCAGGTTCCACGACAGTGGGTGGTCGCTGTGGGTTGCGGGGCTGGAACTCTCCTCGGCGATGAAGGCTTGAGAACAAATCCTCATTGTTGGCAGGTCTTGATATTTTAGTCTTGTTGATTCTGTCTGAGTGGACAGAGAGAGAGACAGAGAGTGAGCGTTGCAGGAAGACAGAGTGATGGATGAATGGATGGGTGGGTGGATGGGTGAATGTATGGATTGATTGACGGATGGATAAAGGAATGAATGGATAGATATACGGATGGATGGATGGGTGGGGGTGAATGGATGGGTGGATTGATGGATGAGTGAGTAAATGGATGGATGGATAGATCGACGGGTGGATAAAGGAATGAATGCAAGGATTGAGGGATGGATGATGCATGGATGAATAGGTGGATGGATAGATGGATCAAAGACTGGATTGATGAATAGAGGAAGGCAAGGATGAAACGTCAGATAAAGATGGATTTGTGAATGAATGTACACACGGATGTGTTGATGAACAGCATGAAGAACAGCTGGATATAAGAACTCATGCAGATCAGATGGGGGGTATTTCGACCTGTCTAGGATCAGACTGAAGGATCGAAGGGCAGATGAATGGGCCTACTTCGAGATGGATGGATAGTTAGATGACATGAGGGACATGGATGGATGGTTGGAGGAAAGGAGGGACATGGATGGACTGGTGGATAGATTTAAAAAAATCTGATTTATGAACTAACTGATGAACGGCCCGACCTGGGGGACAAATGTAAAGATTGACTCACAGAGTCACATCGATGGATGATTTGACCCATCTAGGGGCAAACGGATGGCCAATCGACACTCGGTGGGTGTTGTGGTAACATCACGCCAGCCACCTTCACTTCCCATGACTTAACCGGCTACCCATATGAGACTGGGTCAACCTGGGAGCTGAGGTAAGTTTTGAAAGGAAAACAAATGCTCATTTTGGATTTGAACCCACTTGGGGTTCGCAGGCGAGTTTCTTTCTAGTCGCTACATCACTTCCGTTCCCGATAATACATAAACATAATAGGAAACTATAACAAGTAGAAAACTGATTGCCCACTTCAGAAAGATATAATCTACGTTTTTAATCATGTGAGAAGGAGAAAACTGGAGTACATCGTGACATTAGGAAAGTTAGAGGGGAGGAGAGGCAAAGGGAGACAGAGAGAAAAGATGCTGGACAGTTTGACATCATGGCATGGGATCATATCTGTCAGAGTTGATTGCAAGTACACGAGACAAAAGGCTGTGGATAGACATGACTACCAACGCCACACGGCATGGTCTATGAAAGATCATCTGTGTCAGAGTTGACTAAAAGTACACGAGACAGAAGGCTGTGGACAGACATGACTACCAACGCCACACGGCATGGTCTATGGAAGATCATATGTGTCAGAGTTGACTAAAAGTACACGAGACAGAAGGTTGTGGACAGACACGACTGCCAACGCCCCGGCATGGACTGTAAAAAGCAGAACGAGTTAAACATTACACCTACTGTTGTTGTAGTCGTCAATCAACTGGTCATAAGAGGCGAACTCTTGACCAGCGTACCAGATACTCTCCACCGTCCACTGGCTAGGGTCACTGCTAGCAATGTCCACCAGGAAATTGAGGTCCAGAGGATGAAGTGTGCGAAATGGGAGATTGTAGTGCGCTTGTACCCAGATATATCTGATGTTAAAGAAAGAAACGCATACAAAAGGCAAGAGGAGCTTTCTTTCATAGCACTGGTAAATTGGTGAAGGTCAAAGGAAATGACAACTAATACCAAACTGGAAATTTTTAATTCCCATGTCAAACCAGTACTGCTTTACCGAGCAGAAACCCGGGAAAAAAACAAAAACAGTTACTGACAAACTATAAACATACTTTAACTGCTTTTAACTGGTGCCTCGTAGAATATAAGGAATCAAACTGGATTATTGAATCACTAGAATTGAGCTTTGGGAAAGAACTATACAAGTTCAATGGCTCAAGAGGTGAAGAAAAGACGCTGTCGTTGGATAGGATACACGTTACGAAAACCTGAGAACAATATAAGTAGAAGGTCTTTGCACTGGAACCCACAGGGGCATAGAAATAAAGGCACCCCTCCTCCCCAACCCCCCCCCCCCCCTCCAATGTGAGCAGGGAGGAGAACTGCATGCAATAACGAAGGATAAAACGCCTTTGCGGGGTTGGTTAAGGGCCCATGCTCCTTGTCTCAGGTAGGTACAGGCCGAATTCAGAAATAGTAGCAGTAGTAGTAGCAGCAGTAGTAGCAGTAGTATTAGTAGTTGCTGTTGACATTGTTATTATTGCTGACATTGTTATTATTCTAAATGGCACCATCTAAAACAGTAAAAAAGATGAAGATAATAGGATGGGCTAGAAAATGACAAAGATTATGAGATGAGACAAAAGGCAAATAATGAAAGAAAAAAAGTGGCAAAACGAAGAAAATACGAATACAATAAAGCATTTAAGTCAGAAAACAAATAATCCAGAACAATGAAGAAATGTGTTAAACAATAAAGCCAGAGATACACAGACATGCTGAAAGAATAAGAACAACGCAGAAATGTGTTAAACAAACAAAGCCAGAGATATACAGACATGCTGAAAGATTGAGAACAACGCAGAAATGTGTTAAGCAACAAAACCAGAGATACACGGGAATGCTGAAAGATTGAGAACAATGATGAAATGTGTTAAACAAACAAAACCAGAGATTTACAGTAATGCTGAAAGATTGAGAACAATGAAGAAATGTGTTAAACAACAAAGCCAGAGATACACAGTAATGCTGAAAGATTGAGAACAATGAAGAAATGTGTTAAACAACAAAGCCAGAGATACACAGTAATGCTGAAAGATTGAGAACAATGAAGAAATATACATAGTAGAGATTATGCTCAACACCTTTTTTCGGGGTTTCCTGTAAACGCGGAACCAACCGACGATGGAACTCCGGCCAGACAATGTTCCGCCTTCGTACATTGGGTAAATGTAGCTCCATAACTCTCCTCTAGAATATATGCGATCTGTTGTTAAAGGATTGCGTGAATTAATCGATTAATCAATCATTCTGTCTGTAAGTTTAACGAATGATCAGTCAGCTAAATAACAAATCTTGAAACAAGTTAATTGTGAAATATGTGGATTATTTTAACTGATCAATCGACTGATCTATAAAATTGTCAATCAATGAAGTACTGATAATCTCATTAGTCTATAGATGATCTATTGTAAATCATCATCATTATGTAGCAGGTCCTTTGCAGATCGTCGCTTCCATCAAGGCCTGTCTGAAAGAAACTCGGTCTCTCGCCAGCTCTCCCGCCTCATGTACTTTCATACTCTATGTGTGCCTCCGCACTGTTCACTAGCTCCCAAAGGGCCCTCACAACATCTAGCTTTTCATAAATTCGCCACCTTTCGGTCTGTTCTAGCCATCGTGGATCTTCATCTGAACTTTATCACTCTTCGTTGGATCTCTGTGCCACTCTTCGTTGGATCTTCATCGGGACCGTATCACTCTTCGTTGGATCTTTATCATAATCAAGTCACCGTTACTGTCTGTGCCACTCTCCGTTGGATTGAATCGGATCAAGTCGTCCTTTTCGTTGTACATTGATCTGCCACTTGCCGTTGTATTGGCCATTATTTTAGCGATTTTTCATAGCTAACATTGCAGTGTTTTTTGTCTGCCACCCAATTGGTAAGTCAATTGTGGTTATTGTGGTTTCTGTTGCGCTGACAATTTTTTTAACTCTTTCCTCCAGAGAACAGACCTGGTTTTCCCGTGCGCAAGTGGAGAGCGAGTGGCACATTAATTGTTACGTACGTGTGTGACAGTACGCAGTATTCGTTGTCCTGTGGCATCACTTCACCACACATATTTCATTTTCATATATATTTATTATACTGATTGTTATAGTACTGAATTTATTAGCAAGGAAAACATAGATCATTGTTAGTAGCATGTCGATGAAGTGAGGTCGGTGTATTAGTCGAAAGGCTCACGTTATGCGAATTTTATGGAGATTAGGCGTAGATTGCCCAACATGTTATTAGCACTAGGTTCGACAAGAGTCGACTGATTTGGCCGTGTGTCGAGAGACTGGTTGCCAGAGGGCAAGGCTCATCAGTTATCATTTATAGGTTATAGTGACCCAAAGGAAGGACACATAACCAAGAAGAAGAATCTGTCCTGGGTGGCGACGTGGGGAAGTGTAGGACCACTAGAGAAACAGGGCAGGGTTTTGTTTTAGAAGGCTACCGGTGACCCTTGGAGGGGAAACGCAGGCCGTAAGCGAATGTTGTAAACTCACGCTGAGTGGAGGTGAGGTGTTTTCTTTCAGGTGACACCGCCTTAGAAGCATAATATAATGTATAGGAGGAGCTTTAGATGGACATTCGTCCGGTATCATCTGTTCATCCCTATTGTCTACTTTATAACGTAAGCGTAGTGTTCTTGTGGACAGAGTAAAATTTTGGACAAACACCGGCTGTCGTAAGTTGAGAGTGATTATGTGTCACGGATGGTGCTCTAATCATTCTCAAGCTGACAGGTTCGCTGAGATGAAATAGCTAGAAAGACACGGTGAGTGATACTGGGTTATGTATCGCTCCACGTGTTAGAAATTTCACATGTTTTATTCCGCAACTGTCGGCTCTGTGGCTAAGTCGATGCGAACACTTCGCTTCGTAATGCCGGGATGCCGGGTTCGATCCCAGCTGCGGGCAATGCGCCTTGCGTTGGTTTCGACAGTGGTATCAATAAGGCCGACCGTCCAGGAAGCAATGGCAAACTACTGGACGTAATTTGCCTAGAGAAACCACACAACAGCCAGGGGCTGTTAGGGTTGGTTCTGCAACGTCCTGTAAAGGATACGCAACAACCTTTATTCCGCAACGTGGGAATTTTTCGTCGCTGGAGGAGACATTGGTGTGGGCTGAACTTTTGACCCTCGTGGTGGGTAATCTACGATGCAGAAGTTTGGCAATAGTATCTGTGTGACCCTTATTTGACGTGGGTTTTGTCGTCCAACGAGGAGTCGTAAATCAGGGATACACATTTTTGAAACAGAGATTGTCATGCAAAAACACTACAGCTCTAACAACCAGACGGGTATCAGCAAGTTGTTGCAGGGATCGTTATGATGTTTTTATTATCTGGATGACCTATTGCTTTTCCATAATGATATTCAACCATTACAGCATTGTTGTCCTCATTAATGAAGAAAGGAATGCCAGCGAAGATGATCTGGACGAGAGAGGACGCGCTCCAGAGATGACAAAAGGCATTTAAGAGTAATCCGTTCTTGTGTCTGCCAGATTTGTCTCTGCCGTTTTATGTTTCCACAGATGCATCTGATGTCACCATAATGTCGGCACCCATCACGAACTCAGGCATCCTAAGATGAACAATGAATCTACAGACGTTTATCTTCACCATCATTTATCGCCCAGGGAAAGAGATTGTCGTGGCCGATTTTTTGTCTTCTTCTTCTTCTTCTTCACTTCTTCTTTTACCGCTGTGGGTGTCGAGGGAGATATAAGGTTCTGTTTCTAGCTCTTCTGGCTGCCTCGACCATAGGCACATCGTGCTGTTGTAGAGTTTCTCTGATGTTATCCTTCCATCTTGTTCTTGGTCTACCCCGTGCTCTACGTCCTTCTTCTCTTTCCATGTACGCTTTGTATCGTATGGTGTCACAAGGCATTCTCTCTAAGTGGGCAAACCATTTCACTTGCTGTCTTTGTATGTAATCCAGAATTGGTTCTGTGCCGACTTGTTCTCTTATGATCTCATTCCTGATCTTATCTCTTATGGTCACTCCTACAGCCCTTCTCAGACATCTCATTTCCGTGGTTACTAATTTTCTTTTATGGTTTGTTGTGAGTGACCATGTCTGGCACTGGTAGCACAGAGTTGGAATAAATATGCTTTGAATAAGATGTCTCTTTGTGCTGATTGGGATTGTCTTATGCTGTAAGAGGGGGGCTAGCTGTCCCAATACTTGGTTTGCTTTACTGCATCTAATGTCAATTTCTTTATCCAATTTCCCATCTTCGGTAAATGTAGTTCCCAGATATTTAAACTCAGATGCCTGTTTAATGCCTTTGTATTCTATTGCTATGTTTAGATCTGTCTTCTTTTTTCCTGTTGACATTACTTCTGTCTTTTCAGTGTTGATTCTCATATTATTTGTTTTACATTCTTCATTCATGGATGTTAGATGTTGTTGCAATTTCATGGCTGTATCTGCTATCAAGGCCTGGTCATCTGCAAAGAGTAATTCGTTGATCTTACTAAGATCTTCATTCATGGGCTTGGCATTCTTGCATATACTGTCGATGTAGGTGATAAACAGCAGTGGTGATAAGACACACCCCTGTCTTACTCCCGATGTCACTGTGAAAGGATGAGACGTTCCCTGATTTATTCTAACTACACTTCTACAATCCCTGTATAAACTTTTGCACACTTCGATGAGGTGTTCGCTTACTCCATATCTTGCCATTATTTTCCATAATGTCACGCGCACCAAATGCAGTAGAATAGATTTGATGTTTTGTGTCTTGTGTTGAATTTACATGATATTATTAATATGTTCTGTTGAGCAGAGTCATTTATATATTTTGCATTCATATAAAAACGTATATATGATATATTGAACGTGAGTGTC